TTACTTACTTACTTTACTTACGCCTGTTACTCCCAATGGAGCATAGGCCGCCGACCAGCATCCCCCAACCCACTCTGTCCTGGGTCTTACTTTCTAGTTCTATCCTATTTTTGTTCATTTTTCTCATGTCTGTCTCCATCTTTCGGCGTATTGTGTTCATTGGTCTTCCTCTCTTCCTTAAGCCTTGAGGATTCCAGGTGAGGGCTTGCCTTGCGACGCAGTTCGGTGCTTTAATCAATGTGCGCCCTATCCACTTCCAGCGCTCCTTCCTGGTTCCTTACTCCACTAGAATCTGGTTTGTTGCTGATAGTGTTTGGCCAACGGATCCGAAGTATTTATCATAGACAGCTGTTAATAAACACTTGTATCTTTCGTAGCTTTCGTAGTTCTCTAAGTTTCCGCCCCATACAGTAGAACTGTCTTGACATTTGTATTGAAAATCCTGACCTTGGTGTTGGCTTGCGGACAGTTGTTTTGAGTTTCATATGTTCTTCAGTTGTAAATATGCTGCTCTTGCTTTGCCGATCCGTGCCTTCACATCTGCATCAGATCCACCGTGTTCATCAATGATGCTGCCCAGATATGTAAAGCTTTTTACATCTTCCAAAGCTTCTCTGTTCAATGTGATTTGATTGTTGCATGCTGTTTTGTATCGGAGAATCTTGCTTTTTCCTTTGTGTATGTTGAGAGCTACTGCTTCTGAGACTGCTGCTACACTGGTCGTCTTCTCCTGCATTTGTTGTCGCGTGTGCGATAGAAGAGCCAGATCATTTGCGAAGTCTAGATCGTCCAACTGCATCCTAGATGTCCACTGTATCCCTGTTTCCCACCAGGTGTTGACGTCTTCATGATCCAGTCGATCACCAGGAGAAAGAGAAAGGGTGAGAGTAAGCAACCTTGCCTGACACCGGTCTTTACCTCGAACGAGTCTGTCAACTGTCCTCCATGCACAATTTTGCAGTTTAATCCATCATAGAAATTCTGTATGATATTGACTATCTTCTGAGGCACGCCGTAGTGTCGAAGAAGTTTCCATAGTGTTGTTCTGTCCACGCTATCAAATGCCTTTTCGTAGTCAATGAAGTTGATGTAGAGTGATGAATTCCATTCAATTGATTGTTCCACAATGATCCGTAGAGTTGCGATTTGGTCTGTACACGATCTATCCTTACGGAATCCTGCCTGTTGGTCACGAAGTTGGGCGTCTACGCAGTCCTTCATCCTGTTTAACAATACCCTGTTGAAGACTTTTCCCGGTATTGAGAGAAGAGTGATGCCCCTGTAGTTATCACAGTTGCTGAGATCGCCTTTCTTCGGTATTTTGATCAGAAGTCCTTCTTTCCAGTCTTTTGGTACTTGTTCCTCATCCCAAATCTTATTGAAGAGAATGTGGAGTATCCTTGCAGTTGCCGCTACGTCTGCTTTTAGTGCCTCTGCTGGATGTTGTCCGGTCCTGCTGCTTTGCCACTCTTGATTTGTCTGATGGCCATGCTGATTTCTTCAATTGTTGGTGGGCCAACATTGATTGGGAGGTCCGTGGGTGCTGCTTCGATGTTGGGTGGGTTCAGTGGAGCTGGTCGATTCAAGAGTTCTTTGAAGTGTTCTACCCACCTGTTTTGTTGCTCTTCAATGTTGGTGATTACCTCGCCTTCCTTGCTTTTCACTGGTCGTTCTGGTTTGCGGCGATTTCCAGAGAGTTTCTTTGTCGTGTCATACAATTGTCTCATGTTTCCTTCTCTTGCAGCCTTTTCCGCCGTCGTTGCTAAATCTTCCACATATTTACGTTTGTCGGTTCTGATGCTCCTCTTCACTTGTTTGTTTACTTCTGTGTATTCAGCTTGTGCCTTGGCTTTTTCTGCTCTTGTTCGACTGGTATTGATTGCTGCCTTCTTGTTCCTCCTTTCTTGAATCTTATCCAGTGTATCAACAGTGATCCATTCCTTGTGGTGGTGCTTCTTGTGACCCAGGACCTCATGACATGTTGAAGTGATTGCCTCTTTGATCCCCTTCCAGTTGCTCTCCACAGTAGTTCCTTCTCCATTGAGTAGATCATGAAAGGCCTGGAACTTGTTGCTGAGGACTATCTTGAATTTGTTGAGTTTGTTAGTATCCTGAAGAAAGGCCGTATTGAACTTTTGTGATATTGTCCGCCCCGTTGTCCAGTGCTTCTTGAGTTTCAATTTCATCTTGGCGACCAGCAAGTGATGATCTGATGCTATATCAGCTCCTCTCTTGGTTCTCACGTCCTCTATAGTCCTCCTGAACGTTTTGTTGATGCAAATATGGTCGATTTGGTTTTGTGTAGAGTGATCCGGTGAAGTCCATGTGGTTTTGTGTATGCGTTTATGTGGGAATATGGTGCCGCCTATGACCAGTTTATTGAAGGCACATAGGTTTGCAAATCTCTCACCATTTTCGTTTCTTTCTCCCAGTCCGTGTCGTCCCATGATGTCTTCATATCCAGTGTTGTCCGTTCCAACCTTGGCGTTGAAATCACCCATCGGAATGGTCAGGTCCCAAGTACCTCTAGGTTGTATCTTCTCATTTCTGCAGCAATTTGAAAGGCTCTCCCGGTGTCCCACATTGTACGAACATTCCATGTACCTAAATAAATGGTCGCTCTGGTTGTCAGAAGGGGCATTGGCCTCGTAACTTCCGAAGGAATTCGGCTTTCATCATGAGGCGTCATAGTTCTTCTAAATAAAAACCTTCCTACACCCAGGGCAGAGTTTAAGAGGTTTGAGTAATTTTTTCTGGTTAGCGTTGTTTTAGCGAGTTAGTTTTCTACGGGATGGGGTTGCTAACCCCATGCCCAACCCTCCTCCTTTATCCGGGCTTGGGACCGGAAGTAGCCCACGGAGGGACTCCAGGCGGAGTTAAGCCGAGCTATACCGATTAAGTATTCAGGCGTATACCGTCTCTGACCTTCTCTATAGCTTTGAATCTTGCATGAAAGTTCTTCGCTTATCCTTCATTCGGCTTCAAGAATCCTGTTGTTGAGATCCAGTACCACTATAGAAGAACACGTATCAACGGGTGTGAAAGGATACCCTGCCAAGATACTGGAGGCTCTTGGTAAGCGTGTGAACTATGAGGGGACCAAACCACTATCAGTGCTAGGTGAAGCTTTCAAAAGAGTGTTGTTGAACCGAGTGAGAGATCCAGTAGATGCTCAGCTTCGAGATCAACAAGGATACCCCAAGGATCGATCAAGTGCTGACCGAATCGTGAACGGAACTCGTCACAATACATACACTTCCTTGACTATGAGTAAGCATTTGACTGAGTGGAGAGGAAAACTTTATGAAACCTTTCCCCACACCACTGTCAACGTAATACGGATTTCTTACAACAGACTACAATGCAAAGTCGTGCATAGAGGACATCTGACAGACGCGTTCCGAGGCAAGACCAGTGTCAAACAAGGCTGCTTACCCTCTTCATTCCTCTTTTTTATGGTGGTTAACTGGCTTAAAGAAACCTCCACATGTCAGGGGAAACACAGAAAGCCATGTACACCCTGTATGAGGCTAGACGATTTAGACTTTTGAGATGACCTAGCCCTTCTATATCAAATGTAGATGGACTCATCCAATGTAGAATTAGTCTCTGCAGTGGTTCTTTTCAACATATACAAGGGTAAAGAAAGATCATATAATGCAGCACAATTAGCAACAACCAAGGCGCGTTTGATAGAGAAGTCCTGGTAGAGGTGGGAACTTTCACACACCCGGGTAGCATCATTGATAAACAAGGAGGATCTGATGCAGCTGTAAAGGTATGGATTGGCGAAGCAAGGGCAGCGTTCCCACAGTTGAATAATACCTTGAACTCAAAACAACTGCAAACCAACAATAAAGACAAAATTTTCAATACGAATGTCAAGACAGTTAAATTGTATATGGGTGAACCTTGGAGATTTACCACAATCATCGAAAAGGTACAGATATTTAGGAACAGATGCTTACGCAAGATATCTGTTGGGCAGACACCATCGACAATAGCCTATTGTGACAGAACAAACCAACAAACCAAATCAGAAAAAGACGCTATCGGTAGACGAAACACACTTTTCGGAAATCCTCAAACTACATCATGAGACATGCCCTGGGTTGAAATTTTCTGGGCAAAAGGAAGAAATGCAGAACACATTGCGCCGGGAATCGGAAGTAGATAACAAAAGAATGAACAGAACTTGAGAGGAACTGAAAATAAGACTAAAAATAGCGTTGGGTGAGGAATCCTGGTTGGTTGCTTATGCTCCTGGAAAAGTAACATGAGTGAAAAAAATTATGGTCAATGAACATTTTTACAACATTTAAGTTTGATCATCTTGAACTCACCGCTTCGGGATGGGTATATAAAACACCGAGGCTAAAGCACCAATAATTGTACGGGTGTTTGACCTTCATCCCTAACTGCAGGTGATACCATTGGGCCGAATATCTAATCTCATGCATAAGTGATTATGATTTATCGCTTTTACCGCAGGGTGTAGGTGCATCCTTAAATGCTTAATGTGTTGTTGATTAACTTTCCATCTTGTTCTATTCTTTAAATCCCCTCACATGTATATGCGCTTGTAAGCGTACGCTGCTCAGCTGAGCAGCATGCTCTTACAACACACGATATATCACAAGGCTAGACTCAGACCACTGCATATTTAGATCTCACTTGGGGATTTACTCCGAAGTCACTCCCAGGCATCTGATAGGGCTTCACACCAATGTATATAAAATGAACAACTACAAAAATTACTAAACCGCACCTGTACGGGTAATGTGTAATCTCCGGAATAATAATTTCAGTCATCCAGATTACTGTAGACACTAGTATCGCAACCTGAAATAATTTAAATTATTTCACAACTGTGGTAGTTTAAACTATCGGAAGCTTTTAAGATAATGTTACGTATGACTGATAACCAGCTACTGTTCTAACTAACAATGAAGTTTATTTTTTCCAGGTTCTAACATTCGTATTACAGAAGAGAGCTTAAAATGTTCTTCCTGTATTCCGGGTCAAAAATTTTGGGAGCACAGGCAATTACTAAGAATATACGTAAATTCTTGGGTACTGCAGTTGAGCCTATTTTGAAGCCAGAAATAAAGCGAAACTCGGTATATTTTGATTTATAAAGTATAACCTGAAGTTTAAATTAGATTTTCATCAACAATGAGTGGGTAGAATCATTTAGTGGAAAAACCTTCAACACTATAAATCCAGCAACTGGTAAAGTAATATGTCAAGTTTCGGAAGGTGATAAGGTAACGCTTGTCTACCTTTAGTATTTCAGAATTTTTCATTTTTAAACTTTTTGAACTAATGAGTGTATATATCTTGGCGAATGGTCACTTCTTTAATCATGTTAAGTTATATGACATAACCGGTATCTATAATATATATAACCATTCTGCCCGTCGCTAATCCTCGGTTAATGAAAAAAGTATTTCTTTCAGCATGACATCTAATTCCATTCGGTTATAACTGTCCTTTAATAGAAATGACGACCTTCATATTTATTTATTTATTTGAACATAAATATTGGCACAAAGGGGCACCGAATACATATGTGCCACTCAAGTCACTTGATTGTTATGTGGGCTGTGATACTGCCCGGGTTCCCAGACTGCACCGGGTGGTTTCCTTAGGGGCCCACACTTGGACCCTTCGACCTAAAGGTCTGATCCACAAGGCGGTGAGGCAACGTTAGGAGATGCAGTCCCATGGTAGCCAGTGACCAATAATTGGTTCATACACCATTTGTTCCCTCAGGATACTGGAACCCATGTGTCCATTGGTTTGGGACCAGGGTTTTCCGATTCCCCTATTTGGACCCTCCGTATCCACCAACCTGGCTAAGGCGTCGGACTATCGGGCGTACCAACTCGATTTCTATAGACAGATGATAGATATGTTGTTCATTATATATATATATATATATATATATGGCTTTTGCTACTTTTCGGCTTACTAACTTGTCAGTGTTACTTGATGTTTTTAACAGATAGCGGCTACAAAAAACCTTTAATTATAATGAAGTGACACTTTATTTATTTCATTGCACTTCGCTAACCCTAGTGTATGTTCTTGTGTAGTCCTTTGAATATAAACCTTTATACCGGAGTTGAGCTTTTGATTCGGTTGTTAACCCTAGTGTTTTTTATGCCACGGCTACTGCGTAAAATTGATCGACGTACTAGTTATGTATTTACTACATTTAGATTTTTTGTTATGGTGACCAGTTTCTGCTTGCAGGTTATAAAATTGCTTTCAGTCAGTCATCTTGATATTATGCTTTTTCTCAATTCTGGTGTAAGTGATTTATAATCTCCCAAATTTTTGATTTATGAAGTGTTAGAAAGACTTATTGAATACATTTTATTTCTAAACTGTCTGGTGTATTATTTTGGAAAACTATTGTTCTGTGATGAAGTTATTTTTGGTCCACCAGGGTGCTTAGTACCTGTGTGGTTGCGCCACAGGATTGAGCTGTACTATTCAGATTGTAGCGTTAAAGCCTGTACGGTGTCTGGTTCCTCTGCTAAACGGGGTTGAGCTGCACTGTTTGGGTAGTTACGTGAAAGTCCGGATGGTGTCTGGTTCTCCTGAAAACCAATGTAAAATTACCCTGACCCACAAGGGTATATTATATAACTGTGATGAAGTTATTTTAATTTTCTTAGCTTAGTGAAAAAGTTCATTAACTGAGCCTTAATTAACCAAGTATTTACAATAAATATATATTTGATATATCTAAATGAATAGAAAAATTACATTTCTGACATTGGGATATAACAAGAATATATGTATTATTAACTTTCTACCCAATACTCTATTTTAAATTATCAAGTACAAGCTTGGGATTGATACCTATAAACACGTATTTATAAGCATTAGTGTTAATGTTAAAGTGATGATCATATTTTTGCTTTTAATGACTAAACTCTTACTTCTCTACGTTTCGTTCTTCATACAGGTTGACATAGATAAAGCAGTTAAAGCAGCTCGTAAAGCCTTCGAATTTGGTTCCGAGTGGCGTACCATGGATGCATCACATCGTGGTGTATTACTACACAAACTGGCTGATCTTATTGAACGTGACAGAGTTTATTTGGCTGTAAGTGTTTGTACACTTAGCAATAACTTTTCAAATTACTGTGTACACTTGAATGGAGTTGTAACAAATTGATTTCTGTTCCCAGCCTTCAAATTTCTGAATGTACTAAAATTTACATGTTGCATGCGATTTTCCTTACGAATTTATTAATGGTGAATGAGCACTATTTCTAAAATGCACCATGGTTAATCGAAAATGTATTTATATCATAGTTTTTCATTGGATGCTTCTTCTGATAGTTTATTTACTAATTTTTTAAAGACTCACATAATCTAAAAGTTAATCGATAAATAAACAAGGCAGTTCAGTGTTATGTGCTATGTGCAATGAGATATTTCGTTATTGCATACTATGTAAAAATGACATAAATAATTAAAGATCGTAAATGTCATGACTTGATCAGACTGGAGCAGATATGTTCATTCTTTAGCTTCCAGGTTTTGGACATTACTAAATTTACTTATTTCTCCTTCTGTTCTGGATATGGTGTTTTGATTTCATTAAGCTCGTTTAGGTTGTTGACAAGATGAATAAATCACTGATAGATAGGTTATACAGGAAAAGATCACATGGTCTAATCATAATAATTTCTTAAGAAAATAAGCAAGCTCTTGGATGCGAAAAACCCGATCAGATAATCAGGTTTTTCTGTCAGTCAATCAGTCTTGTTTTCTCAACAATACTGTTCTTTTTCTTTCCCTGTTATTTTAAAGTGTGTAAATGTGAACTAGTGAACTTCGACACCAAACCTCTACGTTGGTCAAAGTACTTGAATGTGCATATTCTATTGTTAGTTAATTTCTTATTTTATTTATGTAACCAATATCCATTACATGTGTTTATTTCTATCCAATCTCTTTATTGTTTTAGTCTTTGGAAACACTGGATAATGGGAAACCATTTGCTGATTCATATAATATTGATCTAGATTTAGTGATCAAATGCTACAGGTTAGTGATTAAAATACTTTCCATCTTGTTGATTTTATTGTATGTTTGCGTTTCATGTTTGCAGTTTGTATGGTAATCTGTCCACAAAAAGCATGTTGATGTTTTTGTCTGTCAATCTGGACTTTTACACTTAATTGTCCTTTTATTTTCAGTGTGCTCGACATTTCACTACTATGAGCACAAAATATCGTTCCATACTTTCTGAAAATAGTGGAGAGTTTATGTATATACTTAGCATTTAATCTGGTGTTTCATTATGATTTGTTCACTAAGTGAAAAAAATATACAACCCATCAGTAAAATAGATAAATTATGGCTAGCAGTGGGATTCAGACGGCGTGTCGTTTCTTACTATTTTGAACTAACCGGTAGGATGTATTTACCTCATCTCAATATTGGTGTTCATGCTAGTGCACGGACCCATTGCCTTTCGCTTAAAAAGTCTAACACGTTATTTCGTTGATCTACTAAGTTAAGAGAGTCAGTAACTTGTTCAAAGAGTATGATTTTCATATCATGATTAGAAAAGGTTCGATTTATTCCATTTTTGACATTCTCTGCCGGTCATTCTAGCAGGGAAACTTTCTATACATAATAGAACATACGTCCTGGATTACTTTGTTAGCTACAATGGTGCAGGTGCATTCGCTCTTTGTTTTCCTTCAAGTTTTACGTTTCTAAACTACTTTATATACCTTTTTATTCCAGCAGTCCATATTTCCTTCATGAATAATATCCTCTATGCCTCTATGACTTTTGTATTTCCGCTAATAACATTAATACATCTACTACTCTGAGATTCTCCCTGACAGTGTCTTTTAGGTGTGTTAATGTGATATGGCAACTTAAAATGATGTACACGTGTTAAATCCTATGCTGCATATATCTGACTATTCTAAAATGACATGTCATAAAATAACGACTGATCGAAAATCAATCGAGATTATCAACAATGGGATCATTCAAATCCTTTGTAACAATGATATAACCCATTACTATCTATTAGAAAATATTATCTAATGGTCTCTATGTTTTTTCTACTCGAGTTACTTGGAATTCAACCATGTAATCACGAGTTTGAATCTCATTCTATTTATTACAGTTATAATTTAATACATAAACTTCTATGTATTTTTGTGAGGTCGTCACAACTATACCAACAACAACCAACACAGTATTCAAGTCTTATTATTTCCGTCACTGTTTCTGTAAGGCTTTAAATTTTATAATTATAATGAATTCCTAAATCATTTGATTTAGTCTATCAATTGTTTATAGTTCTTGTGTAAGTCATCCAAGAATTTTGCATTACATTAAACCTATACATATCACTATTATTATTGTTATTAGTATTATCATTAGTTAGTTAGCTAGTGTAGGTTCAAAATAATGAAAGGATTTCACGTTAGTTAATTGTAAAAAAACAACTATGAACTTAAGCATTTTCTAAAGTATTTCTGTATTTATTTATTTATTTTAACACATAGATATTGGTACAAGGCGGCACAAAATAGATATGCGCCACACAAATCTCATTTGATATATGTGAGGGCTGTGATACTGCACGGGTGCCCAAACCGAAGCAGTTGGTTTTCTTAGGGGGCCACACCCGTAGCCTTCGACCTGAAGGTCTGATCCACAAGGCAGTGGAGCATCGTAAGGAGATACATTCCCATGGAAGCCGGTGACCAACGATTGGTTCATACACCATTCGTTTCCTTAGGATACTGGAACCCATGTGCACCATTGGTTTGGAATGAGGGTTTTCCAACTCCCCTATGTGGACCCTCTGTGTCTATGAACCCGGTTGAAGCGCCGGACATTCGCTTTTCGTCCTCTCAATTTCATGAAGAACACCCGTGTTGCGAGAAGGCAGTGAGTAGGACTTCCCTGATAGAGGCTATATACGCGTGGCCATGTGAGAGCATTTCGAGAGGGAGTGCTGACTCTCCCCACTCTCGGTCGTACCAGGGCATTTGGAGGCTGTGATTATAGTCAGTCAGTCATTGGTATGATGATACTTTCAGTTCTTTATTGGTTAAGTTGTTTAGAGACAAGGTTACATTGATCTAGTGGTTTTGTCTAATTCTGTTGGTATAAAATTAAGCCATTTTATACGTGCATTTAACTTCTGATGTAATAGTGATACTCGGTGTAATAAAATCAAATAATTTATACAAATGTTCGTCAATATTAGAATGAATAGTTTGACATCGATTGGGCAACAAATACAGACAAGTCATTATATCTGAAAATTATATTTGAAATAATCTCAGAGATTAAAATTTACAATGCTTCCAACGTTTCGTCCAACAAACTTATCTGAACTTCTTCAGGGTAATAATCAAAATCATCAAGGAAAAATATATATAATGCTTAACAATCAAATCAAATCTTTATTGTGCTAATCCGATCATGTTTGGATGTTGACCCTAGTAAATAGGACAACATAAGTCAGTTATATGCGAATCATATGAAAAGATCACAGTGTGAAAATAAATGAATGGATGATTGTGTGTGTGTGTATGGAATTAAAAACTATGGAATTCAAGAATAATATCGACATCATCCATATGGAAGAGGATGAAATGATGACAAGTTTTGATGTATCTTCCTTATTTACTACCGTACCAGTTAATATAGCATTGGATATTATTGTTGTTTAGAATCTAACTCAGATTCAAATTTACGATGTCCGTTAGATCCATCCAAGTTTATTAAGTGTTTGGAATTGTGTTTACGATCCACCTTATTAAGACTTCGAGGAGAACTTTACAAACAAAACGAAGGTGCAGCAATGAGTTCACTAGTTCCTCCGATTGTAGCGAATTTATTCATGGATTTCGTAGAAACCAGTGCAATTGTAGTGAACAAGAACACGGGTGGGGACAATCGAATGTACTTGACACGAAATTACAGAGCATCTCAATAAAATCTGAGAATCATATAGTAAATCGTTAATTTGCAAAATATCAATACATCGTCTCAAACTTCACTGTTCTTTTTGCAAATATCAATTCGTGGTCTCAGATTTCATTGTTCATGTATTTTCATACCGATTGCGTTCCGTTTCCGTTCTTTCCTTGTTGATCTTCTGCTAAAATACATTTTATGCCTGAACACCGTTATATACTACTTATATGGATATAAATAATCCACACCACACGATCACAAGATGTGTTTGTCCACCAAAAGTTTGGTTACGGCATGTAGATAACATTATTATTATTATTATTATTATACTAAATAGTTTAGAAGAACTGTTTGAAAATGTAAACAGAATTTCAGATAGCATCAAGCTTACAATGGAAATAGAGTCCAATGACTATAAACCAGCGTTTCTCGATTGTTTAGTTGAACGAAGACATAATAATAATTTGAAAATAAATGTATTCAGAAAATCAACACATTCTGAGAGATATTTAGAATACGGTTCGGGTCATGCGTATTGTACGAAAATCACAGCTGTTAAAAGTTTAATTACCGGGAGTATTAATCTCATTACAGATAAGGGAAACCAACAGGCTGAATTTAATGGAGCTTTGTCTACTCTTAGGGATAGCAATTACCCCAAAGAGTTTTTAAAGAAGATTATTACAAATGAAAGAAAAACTAAACTAGAATGTATACCGAAAGATTGTAAGTCTGCTGTGGTCATTCCATAACGTAGTGAAACACCGGAAGAAACCAAGAGGATTCTAAGTGAGCATGATATAAGAGTGTATTTTCGAGGTTTTGACACCATAAGATCAGCATTAGTGAAGGTTGAGGATAGATTTCAAAAGAAAGAACAACAGAATGTTGTCCATGAGATCGACTGTCATGCAGCGTATGTGGAAGAAACTTCAAGACTGAATGTGAAGTTGAAGGAACACAAACAGTGTTTCAAAAATGCCCCTAAATCCTCGGTTGATCTAAAAAAAACTTGAGAATAGGTCGGCGATAGCGTTACATGTGTTGGAAACAGGATACAAGATTAATTTTGAAGGGAACAAAATACTTCAGAAAGGTTTCAACACTCATAACGAAACATTGACAGCAGAAGCGCTGTATAAATGGGCACATAAGAACAGCCTGAACAGAAAGGATGGTATTCAACTAGCAACTACTTTGCAAATAATCTTTCACAAGTAATTGGACCCTTTCTTTACATCAAAACTTGTCATCATTTCATCCTCTTCCATATGGATGGTATCGATATTATTCTTGAATTCCATAGTTTTTAATTCCATATACACACACACACACAATCATCCATTCATTTATTTTCACACTGTGATCTTTTCATATGATTCGCATATAACTGACTTATGTTGTCCTATTTACTAAGGTCAACATCCAAACATGATCGGATTAGCACAATAAAGATTTGATTTGATTGTTAAGCATTATATATATTTTTCCTTGATGATTTTGATTATTACCCTGAAGAAGTTCAGATAAGTTTGTTGGACGAAACGTTGGAAGCATTGTAAATTTTAATCTCTGAGATTATTTCAAATATAATTTTCATATAAAATGAAATTAATCATAATATAAAGTAATTTTAATGAGTTCAGTGTTATGTGTTGCGAATGATCATCAAAGTGCTATATGCTATCTGTCAATTGTATCTTTCTCAGATGATATTTCTAGCATGTTCTCAAATCATAGTGTAGATACACATAACTGTATTTAATAACTCAGTTGGACTAAATATTTAAAACATATTCAGGGAATGACAAGATTGCCATTCTTTGTAAACTTTTTTTTGTGTTTGTAGGACAGAAGAAATTATTTGTTAACATTAAGCTTTCATTTGAATGGATGTACTAACATATTTCAAGCTGTTGACAAAAATGCTCACTAAAATACAGAACGAAATGTTACGATACGACAATTGATTTCAAGTTCTTATTCTCACAGTTCATGTTTTATTCACTTATTATTCAAGAAGGTTCCAGTATTCAGTTTTAAATCAAACTAGAAATGGTCGCTATAATAAATTCTTTTATGTTAAGACCAGATACGATATTTTATAATAATTGTAGTAGCATGATCTCTACTCTAGTCAATCTTGTGCTTGTAAATATCGGTTTTGTTTACATGTTTTATCGAAGTATTATGACTTAAGAAGATAAAAATAATGGCACACACCAAATGGCATATGGACGGAGTAAAAATGGACTTTTTAAGGCTTTGTACAGTTGGTTATATCAAACTTCATTGTTTTTACAACTTAATAATGAACATTTTTTTATAGGTATTATGCTGGCTGGGCAGACAAATATCATGGGAAAACTATACCTGTCAATGGAAACTATATGTGTTTCACTCTTCATGAGCCAGTTGGTGTTTGTGGACAAATTATACCGTGGAATTTCCACTTCTTATGCAGGCATGGAAGCTCGGTCCAGCGTTAGCAATGGGAAATACAGTGGTAATGAAGACGGCAGAACAAACCCCGTTGTCTGCAAATTGGGTAGCTGAATTAATCAAAGAAGCCGGATTCCCACCTGGTGTAGTGAACATTGTTCCAGGGTAAAGAAATTTTTTAATCGATTCACCCAATTTTTTCAATGCTTTTTTCTAATTAAGGATGTTTCTATAAATAGGTTGGTAGACTTTAACGGTGTTGTGTTCTCTGAGCCAGGTTGTTTAATTGCAAAGTTTTTATTGTCTTTCTGGACAACATCAGCGCATGATTCACATATAAGTAAGATTGCCAACTATTCTAAAGGTGTTGAATTAGTTCGTTCCGATGGCTTTAATTGTGATTGGATATCTCCGTAGATTTTGTTGTTTTTACTTGTTCGTGCACTCATGTTTTAGGTTGAATTTCAACTTATTTGGTCAATATATACTCAAGAATAGTTGAAGGCAACAAAACTTATGAGGATATCTAGTCACAAACAAGGTTATCAAAGCAAACGAATTGGAAACTTGTAGAATAGTCGTTCACTCCTTTATGAGATAGACGTTGACGATATTATTCAGAGCGACAATAAACGTCTTGAAATCAAACCATTTGACTCAGACAACATAACATTATCAAAAGCATTCAAATGAACTGCGAATTCAATTTTCCAAAGATTGATAGGCTTTATTTAAAGGTCATCTCAAAACTCAGTAAGTAATTGATTTAGGTACTATAGAGAATGTATAAACTTCGTATGAACTTGACTTAGGAGTTTTTAGTGTGATGTAATTACTGTAAAAATGGACAGTTTATTTTTGGGGATCAGAAAACTTTGAATCTACATTTCACTCTAGTTGACATTATTCAGTACAGTGTAACTGGGATTTCATTCGTTGTAAAAATTTATATGGTGATAATTTTTTCCAGTAAAATTGGTTTACATATATATTTTCGCCCAGCAGTTCGATCCGTGTAACATCATTATCTGATAAGAACTTTCTTCAAAGTGTTTATCATCATGTCCACTTCGAATTGTGTGTATAATAATTTATAATTGAGAGTACAGAGAATCAAGTTACATACAATCACTTATCGGCTCCTTGAAAGCATTCTAATGGGGTATGTAATCATCAGAAAGATAAGTAAAGCAGCCAAGAAGATTGATCGATTGTATGCTTATGCGTATATATTATTCCAATTAGTTACCTTGTTAGATGTGGGTTCGATTCATCAGCTGCTAGTTTTATTTGTGTAAGTTAAGTTGCTTGAGATGACCAAGACTACCAGTATATCAAGAAATAATAATTTTAAACAGACAATGTTGAAAATCGATACTACTGGCAAATACACTTTCATAGTGTGATATGGTTTTCGCTAACAACGATTACTCTAATGACACTTCAATTCAGGATATGACAGCTTCTTTACCTTTTAACCACGACTACTCTATAACGGAAGTCCTTTAAGGAAGTTGTATTGATAAGGAACACAGAAGATCCAAATTACATTCGAATTTATTTAGTTATATAATAATGATTATTTTTACAGTTTAAAACGTGAAGTGATTATAGCTAGGCTATCATTGAAAGCATAAAAGCACTGGATGTCTGTCTCATCCTAGTATGAGACTCAGTCACGTTGGACATCCAAGACTCTGCATCTGGGAATTAAACTATTATAACTAACGTAATTTTACGTTGCACGATAGCCTCATTGATGTTTTCACTTTTATAGTTGAGTTTCCTGACCATTCGTGAAGTGTTCGTGCGCTAAGCTACCATTACGGAACTCGAATTTCTGTAGATGGGACAAGACTACTTATATTCTCTTCTTCCCTAATCTACTAACTAGATTAATAAATCAAGTTTCCTTGTAGAAGCTATATTAATCTAGACCCCAGTAGAATAGTATTGCATTTGGCTCCGTCAAGTAAATATACCGATTGCAATGATTAGAATTTGTGGATTGATAATTTTAGCTGAACACAAATCATAGTGAAAATGTGTTGCAAGTTCATAAAATAGTCAGTCAGTTAGCTACAATGTAGGACCACGCGCATATATGCATCGGTCCAAGTTGCCATACTTCATTAACACAAGAAGATGGACACTGGATTCGTAAAAGTAGTTAATTCAGTTGTAATAATATTATAAAAGAAAGATTGCAATAAGGATATAGTGTAGGAAGAAAGAATTAGTTCGTAGAAAGAAAGATATGAAGCGATTTTAATCTCTTGGTTTAAGGGAAGACAGAGAGTGTATACACCGATGCCATTGTGATCGATTCTGAGCCATGTCACCTACAGTCTCCAACCATTTGTTACGATAGTCACGCGGACCCCAACCAAGTAGTCTGCATCTCCCAACATGGCTCAGACTAAAAGTTAGTGACTTCAAGCACTGATGCCACGTCATAAAATAGTATGAGAAAAATGTTTTGCAATTCGACCTTACATTCACCTTAAATTGATATTGATTCTTTTTCTTATAAATTGTATGTTTATGCGGATTCTACATGCCTAAAATCTGGTTATTGTAGAAACTATTTTAAGTTTCTAAGTTGAATCATTCATTTTCTTATCACTGTTACATGGATTGTACTGGTTTTCTAAGGTTTTACCTAGTTTCTTTTATGTACGTGATATTCACGAGTTTGCAGGTCTAATGCTATTTTCTATCAAGAGTATAACTCGTTTACATAGTTTAGGTTTATCTATCCTGTTTTAAACTACAGTTTGTGTAAAAGTTAGTGATAATGCCCGACTACTCAAACTAAAGTGGGTGGACTTTTGACCAAGTTTTATTTAACATACAATTCAATCACTACATAGAGTACCCATAAACAATGTTTATGATGATGGTAGTTTCAACAATTCAGTCACTCGTACGCAGATTTATTCGAATAATGTCATTTGTACAATAAGTGGTTGATCAATAGGGTTCGAGAGAATAATTTTTGTAGCTCGCTTGGTATCGTTTTGTTCGATCCTTGTTACCGAATTTTGTCCTAGCTCGACTTCATACAAATAATTGACTTGAACACCTGAACGAATGCGTTTACCTCCAGTGTAGTAATAAATGAGTCGCAACATCAAATCCTATTGGATAAAGTATATTTGAATTGAGCTTGTCTTCAAGTAGATTAATCAGGTAGGCAAACGCGGGTGACTTATGGTGACTTATAGGTTTTAGTTGAGAATAACTACTCACATGATAATTATACACTTGAGAACCAAACATTTTTCTTACATCCTTTTATTACTGGCTGAAGAGAATAGGTATACTAAACAACCAAAAAAAACATGAAATGAATAATTTCGCCCAAATGTCCTGGTACGCTACAGAACGGTGAATCTGTTCCCCCTTTCAAAATACTCCTATAAACTCATGTGTTTATAGCCACTGACTGCTCACATCGGGCGTGTTGTTTACGAAATCCGGAAGATGAAAACGAAATCTCCAATGGAGGCTTAAAGTGCATTGGTGTGTACAAAATATCGACATGGAGGATTTGGAAAACCCTGATTTTAAACCAATGGTACAAATGAGCTAATGGTTCCTAAGGGAACAAACGGCATATGAATCTATTATATATCACCATCTACCATGAGACCGCATCTCGTGAAGTTGCTTCAATGTCTTGTGGATTAGATCTCTAGGTCAAAAGGGTGGGGAGTGGCCCTCTAAGAAAGGAATCTGTTTTGATTAAGGTGACTGAAAAGTATCCCATCCGTCATACGTATCCTATGTGACGCATATATATCTTCATTCCCCTTTTTACCAATGTTAATGTGTTCAAACGTATTTCTCTCATTTCACTATCCACTTTTTACCTGTTCATTTCTCAACAATTTCGATCAGATTTGGTGAAACTGCTGGTAACGCCCTAGTCGTTCATCCTGATGTTGATAAAATTGCGTTTACTGGTTCAACAGCTGTAGGACAATTGATTGGTCAGAATGCTTATAAACATGGTGTGAAACGAATTACTTTAGAACTTGGCGGAAAGAGTCCTTTAATTATTTTCAGTGATGGTGATTGTAAGTTGTATTGTAAATCAGTTTTTTTAACCTTTGTAGTTGTAGATCGTCTTTCCCACTGAAGTGAAATAATTTAATTTGTACAGTTGTATCCGTGCTCATTGTACTATTATTTTCTAGTCAAAGATGATTCCTCATTATCGGTCCAAATAAAAAAAAACTGAAAAGTATTGAATCGGTTTTTCATCCTAATTCGAAGCTTGTCAATATTACACATAGATGTGCTCTATTTTTGCCTTCATAGGACGAAAACTGCTGTCATTAATTAAACAAAAATGTGTCCAAAAGGTGAAATTGATGAACTCGATCTCAATTTCGATAGACGTCAGGTTTATATATCACTGTAGTAAATTGTATTACAGAAAGGGAAGGCATATCCAAAACTTTTAAAATTATATGGGTAATTCCTCTGTATCGTCAGGAAGAGTTCAATACAAAATACAGGTATCAGATTCATTGGAATAACGCATCAACAATTGTATGAAGTTTTGAGTTCTCGGGACGTTTATGTACATGTAAATAATCAATGGTTCTACGACAAATAATAAGTAGCTTAAAGTTAAGAAAAAAAGTCAGTCAAAGTGATAAACTCAGGAGCAACGACCAATTCTCAATACATATCAATCCAGTAATTTCAGTCAGATAAAAATTTATCGATTAGTAGAACTTAAAAACGGTCAGTCTGTGATTACTATAGTATATGGATGAGTAATTGACAATTGTATGAATGTTTCCATCAAACAAAAGTTCATATCATTACTAGTAATGGATTGAATTATCCCATGTTTTTAAATCATTTTTAGTGTAGATTTGGATTATATTTTGACTGAATTTTGAGCGGTCTTTGTTTGGATATGCCCATCTCATGCAGATTACTGCAACATAACTATTATATTGAAATTTATTGAGAATAAATTGGTTGTGAGTAACAACGGAATACTGGATACTGGTCTCATCTTGTTTGGTACTTGTTATCTGAATATATCTACATTTCATTGTTGGTGTTCGCTCTGGAAAAACTCAAACACGAGCTGCTAATGATGTATACGACATACTCACTGGATAGGTTAGTGGCTATTCTAGATTCAATACCTCAATGGAGAATGTATTTAGCGTTTCAAGTGAGATACAAGGTTCGAGTCCGAATAGTTGAACGTCAACACTGGGATTTAGCCGGTGAATGCAACTAATAAGTCCCTGGATTCCATTGTTAGCCACTATCCATCTATTCTAAATAAAAGTCTATTTTATTTTCAAAGATTATTTCACTCTATCATAACCTACTTTATTCATTTTACATTACTATTCTTTTTAAATTTCAGTTGATCGAGCCATAGCTACGTCACATTTTGGTTTATTTTCAATCAAGGCCAATGTTGTTGTGCAAGTTCACGTATATTTGTCGAAGAATCAGTTTATGATAAATTTGTTGAATATAGTAGTGAAGAGGCTAAAAAACGTGTAGTTGGTAATCCTTTTGATTTAAACACAACACAAGTGAGTAACATTTAAGGCTATTTAAACAATTAATTATTATTTCCTAGTGAAATTGTAATTTAAATGCATGATTATGTAATGTTCATTATATAAATATTCATTTGATCTGTATATGGTTTTTGGTTACGCTAAAAGGATCGGATATTTTCTAAATATGATTATTAATTAATTCACTTATTTCAACACATTAACATTGGTAAAGATGGGGGGGACCAAGATATATATGCGTCACACCGGATTTTTGTGAAGGACTGGATACTGTTCAATCGCCCTAATCAAAACAGATCGCTTCATTAGAGAGCCACTCCCCACCCTTTTAACCTAGAGATCTAATCCACAAGACATTGAAGCAACTTCACGAGATGCAGTCTCATGGTAGATGGTGACAAATAATAGATCCACACCCCGTTTGTTGACTATAATTAAAGTGGTATTTGTTTGGTGGGTTCAATCTCGTACCATCTAGTGTAAACATCAATATGCTACCTATAAACTTATGAAGTGACGTTTATATTAAATTCTTAACGAAGAATTGGTTTCCTTGAAGTTTCACATGATCTTTGTAACAACCGTTAAGGTGTTTGGCTATACTCTACCATTTGTTTTTTTTTCAACCACTTGCTCATATTGGCAAAGACGGATAGTGGCTAGCAGTGGAGTCCAGGACGCGCATTTCGTTCTATTTGTGACTCGTCAGCTGGATGTACCTGCATATCAGAGTTGATGCTCATCTGGGACTCGAACCCAGTACCATTCGCTTCAAACGCCATCGCGTTATCCACTGCTGGTCACTATCCATCTTGGCTTATAAAAGCTTTTAAATTAAGGCAATATCGAGGCACATATGCCAATAACGGACTGATCAATTGCAGTCTTAAACGTCAATGCGAAGATACAAGCAAAACAATACCAAGTGAATTCACTTGCTTATGGTTTTAAACCTTTGGTCAATGCTCAAATCTCTAACAGTTGGTGAATATATTTTAAAGTTAGTGTTATACCATTTTGGTTTCATATTAAAATGCGGTTATTTGTTATTCAGGGTCCACAAGTTGATGAACACCAATATCAAACAGTTATGTCATACATTGAATCTGGTATAAAGGAAGGTGCCAAATTATGTGCCGGTGGCAAACGGTTTGAATCAGATGGTTATTTCATTCGTCCTACAGTTTTTGCTGATGTTCAAGATGAAATGCGCATTGCTCGTGAGGAAGTAAGTTATTCTATTATTTATAGTTTGTTTCAACTTGTATGTGCTATACATGGTGGATATTGTTGAGTTGTTCTCGAAATATGGATCCAGCAACACCAGTTAATTTTCAACACAGAGAAACATTACAACTATTGATACAATATGACCGGATAGATAAGTTTATCTACCAACTAAAGAATGAGCATACTGAACAGCAGTTCAATTTGTTTTAATTTGTGGTTGTGGAATGTAACTTTTAGAATAGAGGATATTCATAGGCTTCTAGTGTTTGAACATAATTACCTCCAAAACACTTATTGCATTTGTTGAAACGTCGAGTTAGCAATGCTGAGGTTGAAATCAAGGTACTGAGTAAATATAGCAAACCGGTTGACAAGGTTGTGAATCCTCATCGACTGTGGTAGTTGGGACATGTTTGACGTATACCTAACCACCACCTACCTCAATGCGCTATGTTCACTGGTGTGAAAATAGGTTGGAGGAAAGCTAGCGACTTCCAAACCAAGAAGTGATGTAAGTTCATGAATTCATTGACATTTGGATTAAGCCATGTTGTTGGGTGCAGACTACTAGGGTTCGTGGTTAACAACGGTTAAGAGATTTTGGGTGACATGGCTTAGAGTTAGCCATCCTTTATCTTCTGGAACTATGACAGGTTAGCACAATGACTCAGATGTGTTCGCCCTTTGTCTTCCTATAAACATTCTGTTTTTAAAATCATCCTGCGAACGATATATTGTGAAGTTCGAGATGCTTTTACTTTTTCTTTTGTTGAATTAATTAAATAAAACAGAAGACTAGGATTTCGGAAGAGACCTTTGATATTCTGAGAAACTACATGAATCAACAATACCTTGTGTTTAGTACAAGGTAACCAATAATATCTAGACAAAATATATGATAATAACCGGTGAAAATAACACAATAATAATTGTTACAGGAGTAATCCTAAGAATTAGTACTAATACTGTAGTGAACGAGAACACAAGTGGGGACAATCGAATGTATTTGAATACAAAATTACAGAATATCTTAGTAAAATCTGAGGGCCATACAGTAAGTACTTGAAAAATGTCAATCAGCTGTGTCAGACTTGACTGATTCTTCTTTTCTACACCAATCACTCTCTGTTCTCGTTCTCTTCTCTTCGATCTTCTTAACCTTCTGCGTCCATGTATTTCGCTTTCGATTGATGATACATACTACTTATATCTGTCTATATCAGTAGTACACTACAATACAAATTCTATTCATGTATAACAGTAGCTAATGATATTGATTTCTGTCTTTTTTTCTGTTGTTGTAGATATTTGGACCTGTAATGCAAATTATGAAATTTCGATCATTAGATGAATTGATACATAGAGCAAATCATACACAATATGGTCTTGCAGCTGGTATATTCACTAATAATTTAGAAAAAGCTATGCATGTTATGCAACATTTACAAGCTGGCACTGTTTGGTAATGTTAATTCTAAGTTTTTAATAATAATTGAAATGATAAAACTACAAATTGTGGACAATGTTTAAGGGACACTGTATTAACCTTGAGAAAATTCACGTACTTACTAGGATTAAAAGCTAAGGATCAAAGGTTAAGATTAGGAATATGAGTTAGACTTTTCATTATGAACCAGTATCAGTTAGAATGCTGAAATTCTGTTTAGCCGTATAGATGAGTAGTTTCCAGATCAAAATCTAGGACTAACTATTTTAAATATCATCGGTGTGTCCATACATTTATAGTCTCATCGTTGAAACTCATTACCTTTTACACTAATGTATATTATTTATAACGATACATTTATTATATTTCAATGTCGGATGATTTCACGTAGAGTTGATTGAAAGATATGAATTCGGATTTCGTTGATCAATTCAGACTAACACCTAGGTCTATATAGAGCATAGTATTAGACATACTCTAGGAACCACTTTGTGTACACTGTCCAGTCAGTCAGTCCACTACAACGTAGGACCAGACACGTATGTGCATCGGTCCAAGTCGCCATACCTCATTAGCACAACGAGATGAACACCGGATTCATAGAAGTAGTTAATTCAGTGGTGGTAATATATAAAAGAAAGATTGCAATAAGGACATAGTAAAGGAAGAAAGAATTACTTTGTAGAAAGAAAGATATAAAACGATTTTAATCTCATAGTTTAAGGGCAAACAAAGTGTATGTACATCGACGCCACTGTGATAGATTCTGAGCCATGTCACCTACAGTCGCCAACCATTTGTTACGATAGTCACACGGACCCCAACCAAGTACTCTGCATCTACCAACATGGCTCAGACTGGAAGTTAGTGACTTCAAGCACTGATGCCACATTTTAGTTTGGCAGCTCCTAACTTCCAACCATCCCCTACACTAGTAGGCATTGCACACTGTCCATCTGTAAGGAAATTAGTTTTTACTGGAACAACTCATTAATAATTTCTGCAACGCAAATAAATGAATATTCACATCTCGAACTCTAAGGTTATTTTTCTATCAGTGCTAATTTCGATGTATTTACTTCTAAAATTTTCTACAGATTAATTCAAATCAGTCAGTGTAGAGGTAGCTTGATTGTAATTATTGTCAAGCTGTAATTTAAACATCATTCTACTCCTATTTTATATGAATATACAATAAAATGAACAGCCAGGGAGTATCCCAGCCCTTACATAAATCGAATGATTTATGTGGCGCATACCTATTTGGTGCCTCGTTGCACCAATGTTTATATGTTTGAACGTAAAATGATCAGTCGTTACACTTTATGAGATTCATTGTGTAATGAATTCTATCGTTATTCTAATTCTTGTCATTTCCACACCAAAATGTCAGACATTATGATAAACCATACACAAGTTTGAATTTATTTACTGTCATTACTTGAATGTTTATCATTGTCAGATTATTGTATAGTGAGATTGCTTAATTGTTTGTTATCTGATGATTTAGGCGTAGTAAGCAAGAGTTATACAAAAGTTGATCATCATTATGCAAACAAGTATAGATCAATAACGGTACTATATTAGTTTTCTTACTTGGATTACTTTTCAGCACTAAAATATCACAGATGAGATGTGAGTACTGCCTTAATGCCCCCAAATGCCCTGATATGGCCGAGAGTGGGGTGGGCTCGCCCTCCCTCTCGAAATGCTCTCACGCGGCCACGCGTATACAGCCTCTGCCAAGGAAGTCCTACTCACTGCCTTCTCGTGGCGGGGGTGTTGTTTACGAAAATGAGAGGACGAAAAGCGAATGTCCGGCGCTTTAACCGGATTCCAAACCAATGTTGCACATGGGCTCCAGTATCCTGAAGGGACATATGGCGTATGGACCAATCGTTGGCCACCGGCTACCATGGGAATGCATCTCCTCACGATGCTCCACTGCCTTGTGGGTTAGACCTATAGGTCAAAGGCTCGGAGTGTGGCCCCCTAAGAAAACCACCTGCTTCGGTCTGGGCACCCGGGCAGTGTCCCATCCCTCACATAAATCGAATGATCTATGTAGCGCATATCTATTTGGTGCCTTCTTGTACCAATGTTTATGTGTTTAAATAAATAAACTGCTTGAATAATAGATGGAAGAATGTTACTTTTCTACAGGTTATGTAACATTCTTTTTGGGAGTACTGCATTCTAGTGTACTTGTAATGGTAAATTTATCAATAATGTGTATAGGTATTCACTTCAAAATAAAGAAAACCTAAAATAACTAGGTTGATTGCACCACTTTTGTGGCTACTAGTGTAGTGAACGAGAACACAAGTGGTGACAATCGAATGTATTTGGATATAAAATCACAGAATATCTTAGTAAAATCTGAGGGCCATACAGTAAGTACTTGCAAAATGTCAATCAGCTCAGTCAGTCAGTAACAACGTAGAACTTCGTACGTACGTACATCAGTTCGAGTTGCCACACCACATTAGCACAGAGATGCAGTTGTCGATTCAAATCCCGTAGTGGTAGAGGTAATAAGAGTATAAGCAGTAATCGGGAAGATTAGGGTTTGGAGATGTTATTTAAAGAGTATAATCCAGTGAAATAAATTTGGAAAGAGGAAAAAAGGGACATGAAGAATTCAGAAGATTAGAATTTGGGAGAACACAGAGAGTGGATGCACCTGCGCCATTGCAAACGATTTTGAGCCATGTCATTCAGGGTCTCTAACCATCGGTTGCTATCATCTCGCGGTCCCCAACCAGGTAGTCTACACCTACCAACATGACTCAGTTCACTTGTCAGTGACTTCATGGACTTGTGCCATGTTTTGGTTTGGCCGCCCCTAGCTTTCTTCCAACCTACTCCTATACCACTGAACATAGCACGTCGAGGCAGTCGGTCGTTGGGCATACGTAACACGTGTCCCAGCCATCTCAACTGATGAAGTTTCACTACTTCATCAATTGATTTGCCATCCTTACCTAGTACCCGTTTCCTAACAACTGTGTTACTTACTCGATGGTCCCATGATATACGAGCAATGTTTCGAAGACACCTATGATCAAATACTAGTAACCTACGGATATCCTCTACTCTTACCGGCCATGTTTCACTGCCATAAAGTAGGACGGAACGAACTGCTGCGCAGTAAACACGTCCTTTGGTTGATAGACGGATATCTCGCCTACGCCATAAATGACGCAAGTTGGCAAAAGCTAGTCGAGCCTTCTGTATCCGTGCTGAGATTTCGTCACACACCAAACCACAAGGGCTGATGAGACTTCCAAGATAAGTGAAGCGGTCGACACACTCAACTACTTCACTCCCTATCACTAGTTCGGGTGTCGATGTAACCCAATCCTGAAGCAACATTTTGCATTTCGAGGGAGAGAATCGCATCCCGAACATGCTTGCATTGTTGCTTAGAGTGGTCAGAAGACTCTGCATTTTGTCAGCGTCTTCACCAAATAAAACTATGTCATCAGCATATTCTAAGTCAACAAGTGAACCTCCCGGTAGAAGTTCAACCCCTGGAAATTTAGATGAGGAGAGTGTTATCTCTAAAAGTACGTCGACCACAAAGTTGAACAAGAATGGGGAGAGTGGACAGCCCTGACGAACACCACTTGAGGTAATCAATTCTGATGACAGTTCGCCATAAGCTCTCACTCTACCAGTTGTGTTCGAGTAGAGAGCCTTTATAAGGTTAATGTACTTCTTTGGTACTCCTTTCAGTGACAAACACTGCCATAGAACCTCACGATCAACAGAGTCGAATGCCGCCTTAAGGTCGAGAAATACTACCATTGTGGGGCGTCTGAATGTGTGTCTGTGTTCTAGAACCTGACGTAGTGTGAATATCTGATCTATACAACCACGTCCAGGTCGAAAACCAGCCTGGTTTTCTCTAATCTGCTCTTCACGAGCTTTGATTAGGCGTCGAAGTATTATTGAAGCTAATATTTTAGACACTATATTAGTCAAACTGATTCCTCTGTGATTGTCACAAGAGGACTTTTGTCCTTTCTTATAGACTGGCACAATCAGTGATTGAGACCAGTCAGATGGGATTACGTCCAGTTCCCAAATTCTACCTAAGACCTCGGTTAATCTCATTGCTAATACTGGACCACCATCCTTAAAAATCTCAGGAGTAAACCTGTCAGGGCCTGCTGCTCTCCCTCGTTTCAGATTTCCTATGGCTTTTTCAACTTCGTAAAGGGACGGAGGACCTACATTAACTTGCCATTCAGGTTGACTGGAGATCGTGGGAAACCGAAGTGTGGCTGAAGGCCAGTTGAACTGATCCCTAAAGTGTTCTGCCCATCGATCCAATCTCCTGGATTGAGAATGAATAATATGTCCATCTTTCTCTGAGATTGTTTCGCTAACGGTCGGGTTCCTAATTCCGGTTTCCTTAACGAGTCTGAACAATTGTCTGCTATTACCTATTGCCGCTGCCTTTTCCATCTCTCTTGCTTTCGCTACCCACCACTGTTCGCGATCATTGCGTAGACTTCTTGTCAGCTTGCGCTTAAGCTGACTCCGCTCTTCATTATGTTCAGAGCCAGGTGGAATGAGTTTCCGAGCATCTATCAGTGCGATAGATGCTGCTGAGATCCAGTGTTGCTCCCTAACCTTCTGGTTTACCTTACTAGCAGATATCACTGCTGTTTCCACAGCTTTTCGGATATCATTCCATGCTGCATCGGGGTGGGCATCACATACATGGCTGCCTAACTGTTTTCCTAGTTGTTCCTGAAATATACTCTTAGCTTGACTATCATTAAGTAGGCCCTAAGAGGTTTCCTTGCAGCGTCTTTCCTACGTCCAGTAAGACGCAAGCAAATACGCGCTCGCACTAGAGCATGATCTGAATCTAGGCATGTGCTCCAGAATGAGCGACAGTCTTCTATCGAGCCCCTCCATCGGTGGCTGATAGCGATGTGATCTATTTGGGTCCAACGTTGGGACGAATTAGGGGGTCGCCATGTTAAAAGATGTTTTTCCTTATGCTTAAAGTTAGTATTTGCAAGGAACAGGCGGTTATCTGAGCATAGCTGCAACAGACGGTCGCCATTATCTGTTCTTTGAGCCACGACACCATAAGATCCACCTAGGTGTCTTTCCCTATCGCTTAGTTTACCTACTTGAGCATTAAAGTCACCGGCCACTATTACTACATCCGAGCGCTTAGCTTTTCGGAGAAGGTCCGAAAGCTTTCTGTAAAACTCATCTTTTACATCATCTGAGCTGCAGTCAGTGGGAGAATAGGCAGAGACGACGAAGAGGCAACGACGAGTGTCCCTATCTTTCCGGATTCTTACTGTTCCGTTCAGTCGGACAGCGCACAAACGACTGTCTACTGGGATCCACTCTAAGAGAGCTAGTTCTGCCCTAGGACTCAATGCTATACCTACGCCGGCGAGGCCACGGGAAGCAGAATCAGGGCTTCCAGATACACGAAGCGTAAATCGAGTCGGTTCTTTATTTTGGCATGGTGAGGTCAAATGAATGACGCTACTTGGATCCTGTATGCGCGTTTCGGAGACGCAGCACACATCGATGGCGCGAGATTCTAAAGTTTTAGCTAAGGAAGCCTGCTGTCCTATTTGGCAAAGTGTTCGTACGTTAAAAGCTCCTACGTGTAGTTTAGAGCGTGGTTTCAGGAGACCAGGAATGGCGTTCCACGTACTCGAATCGTTTGCCCTAGCGGTGCGAGGTGATAAAGAGACGTGAGGAGGGTTAGTCATGGAGATAAGAGAGGTATTAGGAGGTGTAGGAAGGATTTGAATGTGACCACCTTGGTCTCTTGTGCTGTTACGGGTATGAGGGCTGATGTCACTTCCCGGCTGCCCACACCGTGGAAGGGTATTTCTTGAGGAACCTGAAAAGGAAATTGGATTAGTGTTGGTCTTGACGACCTGGGAGCGTGACCGCAGAGCCCAAGGGACAACTGCTTGAGGCCGGTCGCGCACGGCCTTTTTGTGGAAGGTTTTTGACGTGTTAGCTCCGTTCTTCAAAGGGCCTTACCGCCGGAGACGGAAATCCGTGAGGTAAGGTGAGGTGTGACATTTTTAGGGTCGACCTTTTCTAACCCCACCCCTCCTTGTGGGAAGGCAGCATCGCTGTCATGCTGGTTGTCCGAAGGAAACACCTTACTGCTGTCACACCTCTCTACAGTCAGCAGTACGACTTCGCCCTCAGACCTTGAGTTGCTGCTTTTAGTCTTACCGTTCACCAATCGACCTGCCTGGCATGGTAGAACCTACAGGAACATATGTTCCAGCCAATATAGCTCGGTTGGGTCATCACGATAGGCAAGCCCGACCACCGCGTCAAGGTAGCAGCTTCGATCGGTCAATCAGCTATGTCAGACTTGACTGATTCTTCTTTTCCACACCAACCACTCTCTGTTCTCGTTCTCATAGGATGGTGAGTTCTGGCTCAGAGAATAAAACTCCACCTAAATAGTTTCTATATATAGTAAGATGAGTAGTGTGGAAGTATAACTTCTGAGACTATTAGACATAGGATTATTATTAATATTTCCACTTTATAATTAGTAGAGACTAGATCCTAACTTCTCTTCTGAATCAAGACACGGTTTAGATAAAAGCTTGGGGATACCTGACTATTAAGAGTGCTGCTTGGGCTAGCTCAAGGTTAACTATGTAAGTCATAACGTATGATTGATCAAGTCTGTAGCGCTAGGTTATAATCGGAATAGTGAATACAGGACAGAAAAAACCACTACCAGAATTCCGATAGGCGAATTTAACACATGATGTTGATTAGCATCTGTAATCCTCAATTGTGTTCAATTTATGAATCTGTTGTATATTTCTTTGTACAGGATCAATTGTTATGATGTTTTCGATGCTGCCGCACCTTTTGGAGGTTATAAGTTTTCTGGAGTTGGTCGAGAACTAGGTGAATATGGTTTACGAAATTATACAGAAGTCAAAACTGTAAGTATTATGTAATACCGCCCCTTGTTCTTATTGTTTTACTCACCATCACATATGTGTGTTGAACAACAAAGTAAAAATTAAGAGTTTATTTCACCTGGAGATAACTGTAAGAAAACTCGGATACTTTAGTTTTAATTAGTATCTGTTGTCAATGATCAAAACTAAGACGTTTATTACGAAAAACTAAGAATGAATATACGATCATTTATGAAAAAATTACATAAATACTAAATTTAATTTTATTACACATAAGCTGAATAGAATACAGGTGATCATTACATGTTCATCAGTCGGTCAGTCAGTAACAACATAGAACTTCGTACGTACGTACATCAGTCGGAGTTGCCATACCTCATTAGTACAGAGATGCAGTTGTCGATTCAAATCCCATAGTGGTAGAGGTAGTAAGAGTATAAGCAGTAATTGGGAAGATTAAGGTTTGAAGATGTTATTCAAGGAGTATAATACAGTGGAATAAATTTGCAAAGAGAAAAAAAAGACAAGGATAATTCAGGAGATTAGAATTTGGGAGAACACAAAGAGTGGATGCACCTGCGCCATTGCAAACGATTTTGAGTCATGTCATTCAACATCTCTAACCATAGGTTGCTATCATCTCGCGGACCCCAACAAGGTAGTCTTCACCTACCAATATGGCTCAGTCCACATATCAGTGACTTCATGGACTTGTGCCATGTTTTGGTCTGGATGTATATTTCTACAGCAATCATTTAATAAAGGTCATTTGTCCGATCTAACTAGAGTCAGATCCTAGGCCACAAAAATTCTCAAAATATGGTTTTCTGTCACAGGCGATTGAGGAAAATGGATTTTGTGTATTATTCGCGCTGGAATCTGTTAAGTAACTACTCACCATATAACATATTACTTAATCCTGGCAGATAGTGCTACATTCCTTTGTTTCTACTCCTACGTGTACACATTTTAATATATGTCTACCATTTCATCGGTTGGTGCAATATTTTGGCATAACTAGTCTTCAGTTTTTGACTCATGTACTCTTGAATTCACTATTATGTCCAGTTTTGGATACTACTGCATGATTTATAAGAAACTGTTTCTCTAATTCAGTTCACTTAGTTATAAAACCAACTCATTGATATACCTTTGTTAAAGTAAAGAATAACAGATAACCTCGTTGTGCACTATTGTACTGAATCTATAATCCAGCACTAGGATTTCCCCAAGTCATTTACTTTGAACAAGCATGTCATAACCGTTGAGCAGTTTGCTTATCTTTTACCAACCATATGATAATATCAACCAAAAGGTCATAAATTAGTTTAAGGAATTAGGATCAAAAGCTAGAATCAAAGGTTAGAATTAAGAAATATGATTTAGAGTTTTCATTATGAACTAGTATCAATTAGAATGGATAACAGCGTTTCATGCCAAAATTTATGACTTATCATTTTAAATTCCATTGGTTTGTCCATAAATTATATCAGATGGGTTTTGTGGATATTATAATAATTTCAATGGTTAAGATCATGAGTCAATTGAAGCTAAACCACTATGGAAAACCTGGAAGCACTGAACGGCCGTTACGTCCTATTGTGGGACTCCTCAGTAGTTCCTGTAGTAAGTATTGTTTATGAATATGACCAACAACAATTGTTCATCACCTCAAATAAATTATCTTTATTTGAAATTGTACCACATTTTCTGTATTCCTTTTTTTTTAATCATACACTCTAGGTAACTACGCGGATACTTCAAAAGAATTCATAAACACAGATAACTATTGGTTATTTATTTTTGTTATTCTTTATAAAATTTATTATTTGAAATTGGTGATCAATTTGAACTTTTAACTCATGAGGGTATGATAGAAATTTTGTGATAAAATCGTGTTTGATTTTAAATACATTTTTTTCTAATTAATGAATTTATTTATTTGAACACATATATTGGTACAAGGGGGCATCAGATATATATACGCTACACAAAACAATGAGAATGGGAAAAGAAGAAAGAAGGTAAGGTGCGTATAAGGAAACAGAAAAGAACAATAACGAACACAGATTAGTGCATGAAAGTGAAAATAATAATAATGGGGGAAACGGAAAGGTACAATCAGAAAGAATTCTCTCAGTTAAGTAAGTTACAACCACTTTTTTATGAAGAATGTAAAAGAAGATTACAGCAGGATCGCCACTGGCTTCTATTCTAAGCCATATCTGATAACGTCTCTAGCCACTGTGTAGCACCATCTCTCGGACCCCAACCAGGGAGTCGTGAAGGACCGACAGAAGCCAGTACTTTGCAGTTTTCTTTCATTCCACGATTCCATGCCATACACTGACTACCTCTCCGCTTTTTCCAACCAGTCCCAGAGTCGGCAAATAATGCACGACGTGGGATTCTCTGGGACGACATTCGTAGAACATGTCCGAGCCACCGAATTCGATGTTTCAAGATGGCAACACCAATTGGATTATCGTCTCTGCGCCCGAATACACGATGCTGAACCTCTGCATTACTGACATGGTGTTGCCGCTGGATGTCAGCAATCCTTCGGAGACAACGATGATCCAACACAGAGAGTCGTCTAACGTCCTCAACTCGGAGAGGCCAGGTTTCACAAGCATAGAGCAAAACTGCTCTTTTTGCAGCCAGACTGACATCATGACGGCGCAAAAGGTGGCCCAGATTGGCAGAAGTTGCTCTGGCTTTCACTATACGTGCATTGATGTCATCACTCACGCCACCACCAGTACTTGTGTAGTCAACTAGATACACTAACTTCTCGACTACTTCTATCTGCTCACCACCTAGGGTAAGTACAGGCTTGGAATCCTGCCAGTCTTGTAGAAGTACTTTACACTTCGAAGGTACAAAGCACATACCGTACTTACGCATACCGATTGCCAACTGACTAAGTGTGGACTGCATGCCTTGAGTATTATCGCACAATAAGACTATCATCCGCATACTCAAGGTCGAGAAGTCTTTCCCCAGGCAACAGATCCATACCGCCATTACTTACATCTATCAGAGCTGTTTCCAGAATGTCATCAATAAATATATATATATATAACCCGATATCCATTACTGTAGGAAATCAGTATTCAGGTTGTTGCTTGATAGTTGATTATGGTATTCGTATTTTCATCCTGCTTTGGATTCCTCAGAATTTTAACACTGTCTCAGTATATCTATACCTTATCCAGTGACAGGATTAAAAAGTTTTTATGTAACTCGATCTACCAAAAAATATTTTCAAGCATGTGATAAGACTTTTAACAGATGGGAAAAAAGTAAAATTAGAGAAAACGAAACAGACGAGAGGTTCGGCAAAAAGTCAGGTCGCATTTAGATGCTTACTTTCTGATAGGAGGTGGTTTGCAATTTGTCTCGTAAGTAGGAGTACATTGGAGTGGAGTTTGCTCATTATATTGTATTTTTAATGGAAGGCCTCAGTCATATTCTGTAAAGTTGATGGTGAAGCTTCGTCGTAGCCGATCCTATGCTACGTATGCAAATAAATGTGGTTTGACATTTCTCCACCTTGTATTTTTGATGGTTCTATCCATTCTCTTCTTATAGTTCCTTTAAACATTTATATTCAGTGGTTCTCAACAGCTTTTTGTCTCCGGCCAAGACATGAACATAGAGGTTAGGATTTTCCAAGTGGTTTTCAACGGATATGAAAAGCTGAAGGAGGCCTACAGTGACTCTCTAGAATGTCTTGGACATCTGTAAGCTTTAGTTTGTATTCTTTATAAATGAATAAATGAGCACATATATATTCTGAAAATGTTTAAAGAATTCATGCCTGTTAAAAAGTATGATCAGCCTGATATCGATAGCACCGTCAAATGTGAGAGACCAGTGTATAATTTTAGATTTTATATGCCGGACAGATTCAGGCAGATTATTTTGGTGTCGGGAATTTATTTGTAAAGTAATTCATATAGAGAGAAAAACTAGGGTAATATCTTTTTACTAATGATAAGGAGTTTCGGATATCATAGACAGCTCTCCATATTTGAAGGGTACACTATTTAGTATTTTGAAGAAAATGATTGTATTTTTCCTTTCCATAATGAGTCGAGTTCATGCTTATTTCATCTGGATTTATAATTGAAGTTGCAATCGCTCCTAAGGAGAAAAACTAAATCGCCTCTGTACGTGCTACCTCCTTAACTTCTCGTTTATGCAAACACTGATAGGAAAGGAAGCTCAGTATTATACGAGTGGTCGGACACATACTTTGTATACTAAAATTCATGAGCCGTCATAAAGGTCGCGAAGTATGTAACTAAGATGCAAAGTCGCTGTTCCACACAATTCCTAGCCAAAAAAGGAATGGTCCTGTGGAATCCATTCAATATTTCTCCAGGTGTAGGACAGTGTGCCAAACTGAGTCACCAGATGATGGGTAAATAGCATCCTGGTTTCCAGATATCATCTAGATCTCCAGCTCTGACCGGATATATACAAAAATAATTCATTAATGACAGGAGAAAGATTGGACCTTCCCCGTTACGCAGCCAGTTCAGGAGCATGACGTTTGTCCTCACACACAAATATTCTCCTTTGTTTGACTTCTAAACAGTTGATTCGATCGCAATCGCTGCGCAAATATTGTGTACTGTGTTCGAATATTACTGTTTACTTAGTACACAAATGAAGTATGTAGAATACGTAAGTATTCTACATACTTCATTGTAAAGAGCCTTCTTTCTAGGATTATTTATAAGATGATGATTACTACTTCAAAGTAAGTCCAACGTTTATGCTCAGATTATTGACTTGAATTTATACGAAATAACCTAATGAGGATTTATGCTAACCTCAATGCACAATTCGAGATAATAATTATCGGCTTTCAGGCCTAACTAAGATTATTTTATGTAGTTGTAATTAGGAGAAAACGTAGAAAAAGATATATACTCAAGATTTATAAGCAATTTGATTGTCACTGATTGTAAGATGTGTTACTCCTTAATTTTGCAGTGAGGTTGGGGACGACTTTTAATTCGTTTCTGCACTACACACTGAAATGACAGCATTACAGGATAGGCGAAAATGGGATAGTGAACGACATACGCCGTGTGTCACGGTTTACTGCCGTGTCCCGCCATTACAAGGTTGTACGTTAACTAGTCTGGACATATAACACATTTTTTGGAGTGTGTTCTTGTTATTTTGCCAATAGTAAGGGATCGATTACATCAATACCGCTTTAATAGAGTTCGAAAGTTATAGCCGGTGGGGATATAGTCCTAATACTGGAATCGCTTACCTACGACTTCTCACTTCTTGCCAATTGTTTGAAATTTCTGCATGCATAGAACAACATTTTGGTCATTGTCATAGTACTATTCACCAACGATTTTTAATTTTATTTTATTGTTGTGACAGAATATTGGGTAGAATGTAGTGTCTAGTACTAGTAAATATTCATTTCACTTTCAGCTGCGAGTCTGAGGGCAGGGGGCATGCGCCAGTAAATGCCAGGTAGATCAAAATAACCTCATATCACCAAATCCGGCGGGTGGGCTTGAGCAAATAAATGATTTCAGTGTTTTTTAGCTTTGGAGCCCTGCATCTTCAACACCTAATCTTGTGTAACTTCATTAATGTTGTTATCAACGCTCAATACGTTGTGGTTTCTTCTGAAAATTTCACCTCACCTTACTAATGAATTGTGACTACCTGAATGGTTGCGAAGTTTGCATATGGTTGACAAGCTTCAACTGAAGCTGAAAACAAACTTATTATATTTTCTACCTCTGATGTAAAGGATGATAAAATTCCCGCACCAGAGATTTACGTGAAAGGTGATTACAAAATAGATTCTAAGACCAGTTTTGATATCGTTTTCAGTGGCGATATTGCCAGTATGCAGTCAATGGTCAATGAGAAAAATAGACTGCGTGAAAATTGCTGCAGACATGCCGAGTTCTATCATATGATCACTCATTCAGAAAAGCGTTTAAATGAACAAGAGCGTTGCGAACAGCAAAGAAATTAGAGTTTATTACTGCAGAATATTAGTTGCCATATTCGTTTGAAGTCAATTATGCTACCATTCATCATCAGCTTGAAATCACTCATAGATTTATGCATCACAGCGACGGAGCTAGTTGTAAAAATTGTTTGATGAGATGGTTGATTATGTTAACGTTAAGACTAAAAATGTTGCCAGTTTAGTGGACCTCTAAGTTCATCGAAAATGTAATATTTCAAGATGAATAGTAATCATGCACATTGAGGTAGAATGAAACGCAATGACATGACCGAGAAATTTTAATCTATTCATTCAGTGGTGTATTTGGAAAACTTTGTTCAGTGACTTTAATTCAACAGTGCCAGTTACTGTGTTAGTTCTCTCCGTAGGCCAAATATAATCTGGATCTCCGTACATGATGCTTCATGTTTCGAAACAACATTTGAAGCACTAGATGCTGATGGACAGGATAATACAGCATGTAAGCTCACGAGTAAAATCCAATCTTTTCATACAATGTCCCTACAGTGATATTACATTATCTAAGCATTGTTCATAAGGTTGCTGTCATATTGTATTAACCCCCTCATTTACTAGGAAGGAATAAAATTTTCACAGATTTCTGCATAAGCCTTGCTCGTAGAAATTGAAACTAGTGCGGAGTTTTGTTGTATGGTCTTGGTTGAGACAAATGTCCCTCTCGTATTCTCTTTGATAGACACTCGACGCCTTTCTGCAATTAAATGTTTCATTAAAAAAAGTGGCCATACATCAAACACGATGGTCACATCCTTGTCACGTTGGAAGGGCGAGCAAGGAGGCTTAGAAAGACATATCTTGATCACCGTAATTTCTGTGTTATCCGTATTATTCGACCAGCATTCATCTTAAATATGAACTGTGAGCATTTAAAGAAGTTGAAAGACTAACGATGGTTTCTATGTATATCATATACACTAATATGCCTATTGTATACACTTTCCGAAATAAGATTTTCGTTTGATCCTTTTATTCATGTTACGTTGAATATCAAAGAAGTGATGGACGATCCAAAAGAAATAAATGAGGTGCATAGTAAGACCTTCTACTCACTTGGTATATTCAGTATAAGAGTGTAAACGACAGTTTCAAACCACATGAAATTTAAGACCTTGAACTCAGTCTGTATGATGTAGTTGATGTTACCAGGAAATCGAAACTTTTTGGCAGGAAGAAGATGAGATGTTGACCACATTTACTGAACACGGTGGCCCAGACACTTTTATCTTCAGAGCAGATATGGCCTGTTGCTTGGAGCAAGTTCGTTTCCATGGCAGTGGTAAATCACGCACTATCTCACACTTTAAATAAAGGTCTAGGTTAGACGTGAATAACTACTTGATTAACTTTCCTTTTGCCGTATCCACACCTGTGTAGGAGGTTCTCAAGCGGTATTTTTATTATTTAGCTAGCCAAACACTTGCTATATTTCATCATGGAATCACATCTTGAGGCTTGAATAATCTGTCACTTGGAAAATTCTCACTATTTGATAGGCAACAGAGATGAAGAAAAGGTAGTCGTCACTCTACATTTTAGCTGTACTGAAGCGCACGATGAGCCTCTATTGCATCCGGTATGACAGGTAAAATAACCTATAGAGCGCGAGCAATCGATATAAAAATAAAACAGATATTTTCGGGTATTAAATATTATTGTTTTGTCTTATACTTTGAAACTAATATAAAATCATTCTGGTTATTTATTTTAACATTCTATCCATTGGTTTGAGACGTTTTACGGTCAACTCCTCAGTGATCACTGTTCTTCAATATATCTGCAACCTTTTTATGACAGTTTGCTTAGTGATTGGTAACGTTTTACATGCCGATCTAATATGCTTTAATTTCTTTCACTAGAAACAACTATAGTTTATCAATTGTTTATGTTTGCTTTTTTCTACATCTCGCCTTTCTTTGATATTTCATTCCGGCATCTTTCTATAAGTATCCTTTAGAGACGGTTAGCATAAATGTATTAGATGATTTAGATGTCTTGCAGTTAACGCTAATCTACGGGAGAATAAGAAGCGATACAACAATGTCGTAAAACATTCTCTGTACTACAAGGCGCCTTGATACGAACATATCACAAGAACATCACCATCACGTTACTTAAGGCGGTATTCGAAAGACTGAAAATCAAAGAGAAAACAGCCAGATATTCTCTCACTTCTTATTAAGGGTTCCCCACCTATAGAATGCCTCTCAGCAGAGGTGACCATAGCCCATTCATTAGGTAGACTTAGGAGTAGACTAGCTACGTCTGATACATGTCTCGCAATTTACCACAGTTATCTTTACCGCATATTAGTAACTACTTTATATCACTTCTATTATTATTTCCATTTTCTCTCTTATTCTTTCAATTCCGACTTCCTACTCATTACCAATCAAATAACTAATTCGTAAAACAGTCGTCTTCTTTCGGCACTTCAGTTATCACTATTATTTTCAAATTAAAACTAACTAACATCCTGCCCATTAGTGTGCTGGCTGCTGGTATCCGGAAACCCATTGTTTTATGGAAAACGCACTCACCGAACTTCAAAATATGCGAATCAATAAATAACTAATACAATGACTAGAATTACTTCTGTCGAGTAACTAGACTACCATTCATTAGACATTGTGGAATACCCGGAACTGCATCGCGGATACAAGAAGCGAGAAAAAAGAAACTAACCGCTTTATTGAAGCTCGTGATATAGATATTGGATAATGGATTTATAAATCACGCGTTCTTAATGTTGTCTAATATGTGAAACAGCTCTATTGTTTTCAACCAATTTAAAGTCTCGTAACACAGCAGTGAAGAAATCAAATAGTCCATAAATGGTTTGTAATCATGTTAAAAGTTGTCAGATTTTGCACTCCATCTTTGTAGTTTACTTAGCTTGTCCTTAATGGATACTGTCACACTTGTATCCTACATAACACATGAAATGCGTCAGAATCTTGTACTCATATTATATGGCGGTAGGCGAGTAAACCATCGTGGCTCACGATGTTATTAATTCAGGGGTTCAAGAACAAATATCCTTTTTAATCGCTTTGTTAGAGTGAGCTATTCATGCATGCGACCTTGCATGCGACGCTTAGAGCAATACAAAATCATGACGACGTAATGGAGTTTGGATCTGGCCTAGACAAGGTTTTGAAACAAGAAGTCACAGTCATTTATGGAAACAAAGTCAGAGAATCACACGCGCTTGAGCACAATCAGTTGTATTTATTGCTTACACAATCATATTATTAAGTTTTTCAAGGAATGTAACAGAAGCTGACTCGTTCAAAAGTTTAGCCAGTTTTTTGGATTTACTAGGTGAACGTTCGGCAAAAGTAAACAAATTCTTAACTCATTTTGAAAGGCTCAAATGTTACCTGGACCTGTGACGTCCTATGCGAAGTTCAGGGATTCGAACCAGACAATTTTTTTATTATCTGATATTACTTCAAAAAAGTACGTAAAATTTACCATCAGTTTTCGTTTAGAATCTTAGGTTTCTTAAAAACAGGTAGGAAGCGTCTTTTTGTGCATGACAGAAGAGGCGTTTGTGTCGAATGTGTGCCTTTATGTGTTTTGGATTTCTACGTACATGAAGCACATCAGAGGAAAGGTTGTGGAAAAAAGTTATTTGACTTTATGCTTAAAGTAAGTGTTTCAGCGATAAGTTGTCACACTCCGCTTATGGTGTTATCTTGTTTTGGTGCAATCATGTTGACTGTACCAGTCATCAAGTATTTCCTTGTTAAAATTTCGCTCCTTTTTCTGTATTAGTTCTTCGTACTGAGCTCAAAGTTCTCTTCATCAAAGCAAAGAAATGGTACATCGGTTTGAAAGATGGACTTTTGATCAAGAAGTGATAGATTGTTACCTAGTTTTTTTACATCATAGGGATATGTGACCCTATATAAATCAACACATCTATGTTCGATTCGATTTACAATAAGCTACCTATCCATATATGTATTCTTGCTTAACAATAATAGTGTTTTTTAAAGCTCGCTTATGAGCTTTGCTCATAGTCCTACATGAGTGTATTGGAAGCAAAGTACCAGCAATATCCATTTTATATGTAACGTTTAAATACGTTAAATCATTTGGTAAAATTGCTAATCAACATCCATTGAGATGAACGTAATGTTTGATATGAATTCATATGGTTTTTTATTGTAATATGCAAGGTCAGTAATTCTGGAATTGGAATAGATAGATTTTTTGTTGATTTGTAGTGAGGATTTAGAGCTCAGATAAATGCTTTTGGTGTTACTGAGATAGATTGTTCAAATTCGGAGCTTTCCCTTTCATTTTATTTCACGTCATCAGCGCTTACTTTATATGGAAGTAAGCTTATTATTCATTGTTAAATGTTTAGTGATTTCTTCCTGGTTGCTTCGTTTTTGATTCTTTATCCTAGTAGGTTTCGTTTTCTTCATTTCTACATATATTCTGTGTAACTGTCTTATTTGCTTAACATTTGATTGTGCTATTGATTGGCCTCTTTTGTAGTGATTGATAGATTGAGTTTCTTCATACATCTGTTAATTGATGATTGACCTGAATGTTGTGTTTCCAGAACTTCCTTGATTTTATTGTAATTCTCTGAATTCAGAGTGTGATATTTTACAATGATTCCACAAGCATACAAACAACTATGGACACGAGCTCTCATTGTTAACATATTGTGTTTCACTGACAATTTCTGTTTGTTTATTTGTAAAAAAGCGGAACATCTACTTTATCTAACCCATTGTTTGTCACAGTCTATGAAATTCATTACTTAGTATATATTGAATCTATCTCTCTTAGCTGTTATCTCTGAGCTGAATACAATGGAACAATGTGATTGTGCTGAGTTGTGAAATCAACCAAATAAAGCAGTCATTTTGAGTACCTTGTATGTAAGAAATAAAGATAAAAAATTGTGCTATTCAGAACTTAGTATGCATCCCTCACATAAACAATATCTATCAAGGAATACCAGAGACTAGGGTTAAAATTTAGTTAAGTGAGTATCCCGTCCTTTGGAATTATTAGAGCTTGTCTTTCACACTAGAACATCTCTTATTACGACAACCAGCCTTTGTTTCTAATCAATCAGATGATGTACGGCATCATATTAGTCCATGTTTACCACTTAATCTAACTACACTGGTCTTTAGTATATTTCTATATGTGTAATGAAATTGTCTTACACACCTTGAAAAATGCTGAAGGGAATGTTTTCACCTTGATTCTCGAATATGTTTAACACTATGTACATCACTCTTCCCTACAACTTCAAAGTGTCCTGAAAAGCTATAATTAAAATTTTCAAATATTTGGGATTATATACTTGTGGATTTTTGGGAATTTTTAATCGTAAAAACCAAAAGAAACATGGATACCTTTTCTTCTTACATACGTCTTGAAAACGGGCATTTCACTTCTTTGAGTCAACACAACTTTCCTGTCAGATGACTGTACATCATGAAATAACTCCATCGTTGCTTAGTTATCTATTCAGTGTTCCGCTTTGCCTATTGTCCGCTCTAGCTCTTACTCTTAAGTTTACTAAATAATTAGCTTTGACGGTGAACGTAAAGTTCATCCGACACATGTGCATCTATTGTGTTTTAAATCATTTTAAGTGCTGTAAAAATTGTTTCTTAAATGTAATCACCTTGTATGAAGATAAAAACTATGACTTATCTTTGCTCCGTAAACCTTTTGTTATATCCCGATTAGAATAATGAATGATAACTTTTGAGAACGTTTTATGGACTAATGTGATACATATATTTTCATTGTGTAATTTTTTAACTAACTAAACTATGCATGCTCATGTGTCTCTTATTATAAGCTTTAGTTTGACCGACAGACTATTATTATACTATTTATCATTCTTGAGTTCTGCTCAGTCTATTAATTACAGTCCTCCATATTCACAGTCACATTTGGCCAATTCTTGTACAGATGTTGTTTTCTATTTTATGGTGCGATGTGGTCTGTTTGACTGGTGTATATAAACTCAGTCTGTTTGAAATAAATGATTCATATCACAGAGGCTGAGATTTGTGTTCTAGACTCAACAGGCAGGAAGGCTAGACAGGAAGAGGGACTGATAAGGAATATAGACTGCTCGTACTTATTTTATGCGTCATTGGTCCGGTCGATAGGTCATTGTTCTCTAATTTGCGGTATTATTACGTTATATATATTAATTAGGCACAAGGCGACAATCTATTATAGTAACATTGTTAGTATTTTGAAAATAGGTGGGATTTACGATTCCGTGTTGTTGACTACATTTATTTATGAAATCATTCATGTAAACAAATTTCAAATGTCCTCAGTATCACGCTACTTAAGGTCATAGGTATTCAGCTAATGTGAATTAAATTTTGTTACTTCATAAATAAATGTAGTCGGCGGGACTATAATTTCTGGACGAACCAATCAGGTCCAAGATAACAGGTCTCGGATTTTGGCGCGAAATTCACTCATCCATTTGGCTAAATAGCATCTTGGCTTTATAAATGATGTCAGTTCGTGATGAAAAACCTAATTGTGATTCCTAACCTAAACTATCAACTGTAAATTATAATTTTAATTCCTCACACTAATTTATAACCCTCATTTGATCCTAGTTATTAGGTAGACAGTTTCGAGGTTAGTTTAGCGTCGCTTAAAGGTCGTCCATAAGTTGTAGTCTCACCGAATAACTTTAGAAAATTTATAAACACGCTTGTCACTTACATATGCTTAATTACATGGATGAATAAATTAAAAACGTTTAATCTGTATCCGATGTGATATTCTTACATTCTATAATCTCTCATGAATATCATGATCATTGCTTTCCACTAACTTAAAAAAGTGTTATATCTTGTGACTTTGTACTCTATTAGTATATAACGTAATGATACTGCCAATTAGAGGACAATGACCTACCAACCGGACCAATGACAAGTAAACCCGTACAAGAAGTCTATATTCCTTATCGGTCCCTCTTCTTGTCTAGCCTTCCTGCCTGTTGAGTCTAGAACACAAATCTCAGCCTCTGTGATATGAATCATTTATTTCAAACAGACTGAGCTTATATAAAAACCAAACAGACCACAACGTGCCATAAAATAGGAAACAACATTTGTACAAGATCTAGCCAAAAGTCGCTGTGAATGTGGGAGACTGTAATTAATAGACTGGGCATAACTCAAAAATGGTAAATCGTATAATAACAGTCCACAGATCAAAATAAAGCTCATAATGACAGGAACACGAATATGAATAGTTTAGTTACTTGACAGTTATACAATAAGAATATATGTAGTACCGTATTAGTACATAAATAGATCCCAAAATTTATAATTCATTATTCTCATCGGCGTATAACAGTTAGTAGGCTAATTGGTGGGTTTGCGCTTATCTTTAATTTCAATCTCTGGAATAAAATGTTACAACATTCTAAATATATATTTGAGTGTATCTTAATCCCCATGATTTGTGTAAAACATATCGTATCTGAGACAATGTTATTACTAATCACATGCTTAAACTATGCTTTGGAACATAAAGAAGTTACTGATGTTTCTAAAAGGATTGTATATCATTTTGCTTATAAACATGAATTATTAAATACGCTAAACATATACTAAATGATAAGTGTTTTTTTAGCGAGTTAGTTTTCTATGGGATGGGGTTGCTAACCCCATGACCAACCCTCCTCTTTTATCCGGGCTCGGGACCTTCAGTAGCTCCCAGAGTGACTCCAGGTGGAGTTAAATGAAAAGTGTACTTGATCAAATTACCTTATTCATAATCTTTTTTATACACAGGAAAACTTGTAAAAAGCAAAAAAACACAAGTAAAATTGTTGAACTGGGTTTAAACCTTATTGATTTATTGATCTGTTTAATATTATCTGATCTCAAGTGAACATTTCTCACAGGTACTTACTTACTTTTATGTCATTTATCTAAACACTTTAAATGAACAAACTAAATTACATTAAAGATAAACTAATACCAGTGACCATTTCAATATGAAGATTTATAATTGAAACATCTAGGTCATCGAATGTTACTTCAACAAAATCATTCTCTTGAAATATACACCTACTCTACCATCTCAGAATGTAGCCTTTATGTTTAAAAGTTTTAATAAAAGATTATTGTGATCTGTAATCGAGCGGTGGATAATCATGATTGATATTACTTTTATTAGTAGTTTGTGGTGGAGTACCTAACCTCGATGATTCTGATGATGGTATATATATCTCCTGTTTCTTTTCGTATATAACACCTAAACTAACCTCATTATGTAAGGGTGGTATTTAAATACCAGATATAAAATGTTGTTGGAAGATTAGATTTCATACATTGACTTATAAGCAGACAATAACAAAAACTAGATCGCTTATAGCTATAAGTATGGTGAAGGTATGGTATGTGCTACTTATATTGACATAAGTAGTATATGATGTTAATCGTGGACAGAAGGTCTGGCAGCAGAGAGACAAGAGGATCGAACAATAAAGAATGGAAACAGGATGCAATTGTATGAAAATACAAGAACAATGAAATTTGAGTCATTATGAGACAATCGATGGACAATTTGCAAATTAAGTATTTACTTTATGATTGTTAGATTTTATTAACAAGTCCTGTAATTTTGTGTTAAATACATTCGAGTGTCTCCACCGGTGTTCTGTTCACTACAAAGGTGTACGAACGAAATATGCAAGTTGATTACATGTGAATACTCACAATATAACCAAATAACATAAAAATTGTACGTGCACAGTTCATAAGAGTCTATGGGACGAATGTAAATTTAATAAGGTATTCATTGAATATTTTCATTTTAACGATTTTATATACTTAGACTATACAATCTAATTTATCGTCAACCGTATTTACTAAAATGGGTAGTCTTTAGTAGAATAGATTGGTGTTGAACATTTAAAAAGTTTTGAAATAATGTCTTGTTATGAATTGTTTATGAAACACGGATATCTAAAGGAAGTTATGCAATGATCAGCTAGTGAGAAGTACTAAAATGAAGAGAATTGGTCCAATTGATAGCTATTGAGAACAGAATAGTTAAAAGCAAAGTTGGATGCTGGCTAGCAGTGGAATCCAGGACACGTATTATGTCAGCCGGATATATGTGCGTCCCAGAGTTGGTGTTCATTTCGGAACTCCGCTTTAGACGCTATCGCGTTACCCATATAGTTACTGAGCCCTGACAACCAGTAGCTTGTGCAATATGGTTAAGTTTTAATTCAATTTGTATTGTTTGTTTGAATCTTTCCATACAGGTTTAGGACTGCGATTATGACTCAAGGCAATCCGCACATGATGAACATATGCCAATAAGAGACTGATCAGTTTCAGTTCTAACACATCAATGGGGAGATTCAAACAAACAATGCAAAGAAGAATAGTTAAAAGTTATAATAATGGCTAATTATTAGTTGTGAAAATAAGTATAGAGGAGTAGGAATAATAATTTAAAGAAACAAGAGATTAGAAAAGGGTGACAAGGAAGATTCAGACCATAGAATAATGAGGAATAAAACATAATGTTTTGTGTACACGAAGGTTAAGCTTAAACAAGTGGATAGCAATAGCCTCTTCTATATGATTGATTTTGAAGAGTGAAAAAAGTTGAAAAAATCATTAAATGTATGTAATGTGGTTTCAGTTATGTGATATATCCTAGTACAGGTTATTTTAAACAAATGATTGAGTCAACGACAGTTCATCGTCACATTGAATTGAGTCCTAGTGCAGTGTGTGCTACTGATGTCGTTAGATATAAGTAGCATGTATCATGAATGGGAAGTGAAATGCCTAGTGGTAGAAGGTTAAGGAGATCGAATGAAAGAGAACGAGAACATAGAATGATTGATATGGAAACGAAAGAACAATGAAGTCTGATACTATTGTTTAATTTCTTGTAAATGAAGTATTTACTGTATGATTCTCAGATTTTACTAAGATATTTTGTAATTTTGTAGTGTCTGTCTCTATTTCTTGGCGTACTGTGTTGTTTAGTTTTCCTCTTCTCCTTTAGCCTTGAGGATTCCAAGTAATACTTCCATTTCTTTGTACTGAGTTATAATATTTTGAATAAAACGTATAATTTGTTAATACACTACCCTATCTGTTGTGATTTTAAGTCCAGCTTGTTATCATGTGATTTATTCGCCAATCGAATTACGACTTATTCAATCTTAGTAATGTGCTAAACCAATGTCGTTCGACTGGTATGAGCAGTCTAGTGTCCTTGTTGACTCATTGTTCTCCTAGCTCTTTCAGTTGAATCCAGAACATCAATATCAGCTCTCACTATACGAATCATTGATTTCAAACATACTTGGTTTATATACCAACTAAACAGACCTCATCACATCATGAAATAGGAAATAACATTCATACACACAATAAAGCCAAGATGTAGCTGTGAATGTGGGAGACTGTAATCATCAATAAACTGAACATAACTTCTTAAGAACAGTAAATCGTATAATCATAATCCATAGGTTAAAATGAAGCTTATAATAAGAGGAATATAGTTAGATATACATAATCTAGTTACTGAATAGTTATACAATAGGAATATATATATATATATATATATATATATATATATATATATATATAATATTAGTCCATTATTAGGTCTCAGGAGTTACTCGTCATTTAATCTTCTCTAGGATATAACACTATCAGGACCCCCCACCCACCCACCTTTTTTTCTTCGCATTTCCCCCACCCCTCTCTATTTCTCAAATGATTTTCACTTTTTTTTTACAGTATGAAAATATTAATCCTTCTTGTTTGGCTATTGATTTTCCTTCGAAAAAAATGTTACAATTTTTACAAAAACATTATCAATTAAAAAATCCAATTTTTTCATCGAATAATTTTGTTGTTTATTCAAAATTTTTCGATCAAATTTTTTATGATACATTGAACATTGAAAAACATTCTACTATTCCATGTGAATTATCACCTATTATTCAAATTTGGGATAAAGAAGGTTTAATTCATAAAAGAAAGATGAATAATCCTATTGTAAATCATTCTTATCATAAACCTAATCAATTATGTAATAATAATAATAATAATAATAATCACTATGGCAACACAATAGCCATGGATGAACAACCAAAGTTAAATGATCAAACTCATATTCATAATAAAACATTAAATAATCAACAAGTGAATGAATTACATAGAACTATCAATGATCAAATACCTATACCTATGATAGATATGAAATTATGTAATAATAGTAATAATAGTAATACATTAGCAAGTGTTTATGATGTATCTAAAATAGATGATGGAAATGTTAAATTAAAACAAGATCTTAATGAGGTAAAACCTATGAATCAGCATCATAATGGAGTGAAGACATTTGGACTATTACATAATGTATATGATAATGTTAATAGGTAAGTATTACTTAGGGATTATATATGTTGAATAATATCGGTAATATCATAACTTGTGGTTTTGTGCTCTTCATTCTTTGTTTTTCACCCCATCGCCAATTGTTATAACTTGTGCTCAGTGCCCCTATTAATGTATAACGTAATGATACCGCCAATTAAAGGACAGTGAATCATCGACGGGACCAATGACGCATAAAACCCGTGAGAGCAATCTAGAGTCCTTATCGGTCCTGCTTCCTGCCTAGCCCTGCCTGTTAAGTCCAGGACACCAATCTCAGCCTCTGATATATCAACCATTTACTCTAAACATACTCGGTTTATATACCAACCAGACAGATCACATCGTAACATAAAATACGAAACAACATTTGTACAAGATTTAGCCAAATGTGACTGTGAATGTGGGAGGTAGTAATTAACCAACTGGGCATAACTCAAGAATGGTAAATCACATAGTAATAGTTCATAGGTCAAAATAAAGCTTATGTTAAGAGGGACGCGAATATGAATAGTTTGGTTATTTAACAATCATACGATAAAAATTTACGTATAGTATTAGTACAGAAATAGATTCCAACAGTGACCATTCATTATTCTCATCGGGATATAACAGGTGAGACTATAATTTATGGACAACCTTTGAGCGACGCTAGTGTCCACCGAATAACTAGGACCAAATAAGGGTTATAAACCAGTAAGGGGAATTAAAATTATGATTTAAATTTGATCATAAGGGTTAAGTTTTAGATCTATGGTTATCACCGCGAACTGACGTCAGCTAAAATGTCAAGACGCTACTTGGACGAATGGCTGACTGGACTTCGCGCCAAAATCTAAGACCTGTGATCGTAAATCTGATTATTTCGTCCATATATCATAGTCTCGGCGTAATATCTCATACTGAAACAAAAGAAAAAAAATATATGTTATGGCAGCTCATGTGCAACTGAGTTTGTTTACATTCAATTTGGTTAAACCCTTTTATTGACTTATTTAAAGGACAGAGTCATCTGTACAATAACAACCTATATCAGTGTACCTTTATTATCATTGTTGCACTTGTACGAATATGCATACTTGAGCTTTGCTTACTGCCTATTCATATTTTCATTCTACTAGCCTTATTATTAGTCGCTTATTAATTGATTCGATGATCCATTCATTTCACTATGTATATATATGCGCATTTTAATCCTGTTCATTGACTCGGCGACTCGCTCACTCGACTCGCCCTCTAGCTTTTCCGCATTACTCTTTCATGCTTGCTTAACGTACCTGTAACATTGGTTATTTGTGCGTGGTGCAATAATAAACTTAATCAACACTTTGTATTTGTAAATGTTAGGAGATCCTAGATCAGAATGAATTAAGTTATTAATTATTTCGATGTGATGTTCTTTTGAACTTCGATGAACATTTTATCTATAAAGTGTACGTTCTTTACTGGCTAGACTGATTACTTCTTATCTTAGTAGTTTGAGACTAGAACGAGAATATTAGAGGTATGTTTTTGAAGAGTAATTACAGGTATTTACTAGTTGTCGTCATCTTTGTTGATATTCCAAATTGAAGAAATTACAGGTTGTCACAAAAACATTTATTTATCTATTTAAACACATAAAAATTGGTATACAAAGACACCAAATAGATATGCGCCACATAATCATTCGATTTATGTGAGGGCTGGGATACCACCTGGGTGCCCAACCGAACTATGTGGTTTCCTTAGAAGGCAAAATCCCGAGCCTTTGACTTAAAGGTCTAATTCACAAGGCAGTGGAGCAACGTAAGGAGATGCAGTTCCATGGTAGCCGATGACTAACAATAGGTTCATCCACCATTTGGTTCTTTATGATTCTGGAGCCCATATGCACCATTGGTTTGGAATGAGGGTTTCCCAACTTCCCCAGATAGATCCTCCATATCCACTAACCTGGTTAAAAGACCGGACATTCGCTTTTCGTGCTATCAATTTCGTAAACAACACGTGTGGTGCGAGAAGGTAGTTAGTAAGACTTCCTTGGTAGTGGTTGTAAGCACGTGCCCACTTGAGAGCATTTCGAGATAAAAAGTTGACTCTCCTTACTCTTAGCTGTACTAGGGCATTTGGGGGCTTCTCAAAAACATGCGTCTTCATAATACTGCTTATGTATGTTGGTATTACCGAGTGAACAATAATGAGATCAGATGCATGATACTAGGTAAAGATGAAAATCTTTTTGGTGAGGTGGCGAATCTTTGTCGAATAATGTGGCTAGAATATGTTATATGTATGTCCAGCTACTGCCTATTCAACGCACGATGTTTACTAGTGTATGAGCATATGCGAGCAATATTTCTAAGTCATCTGTGATTAAATACTTGTAGATTACGAGTATCTCCTATTCTTAATGAACATGTTTCACAGCCGTTAAATAGAACAGAACGAACTGTTGCGCAGTATACTCGTCCCTTAACTGATAGACGGATATCTCCATCTAGAGTTCACTGGTTATGAAACATATAAATACTAAGAAAGTATCATTTCTATCTTAACAACCAAATTTTCTGAAATGCTTTTACGTCTAAATATGTCTCAAGCAATAATAAAGAAAAAATTTCACATTGAAATAGTATATCATGTGGGGAATCATTAGTTTGCCACTATATTAGTGAATGAAACAAGTATATGTTTTAATTGTGTGTGATCAAAATCACATGTACAACCATGTTTATCAGTTGACTATTGAAAATATTACTTATATTTCTTAATAGTTGAATTCTTGAGTCAGTGTAAGATGGACAACTATTGAAAACCTGAAAGAATTGGACTGCTGTTTCGTCCTAGTATAAGACTCCTCAACGGTGCGTCCACGGACCCATACGCGGGGTTCGAGCACAGGACCTTCGATTTCGCGCACGAACTCTTAAGCTCTAGACCACGGAATCGGCTTTCAACGTTATTATTGTCTAACTTTCATCGATCCATGAATGGCTGTGCAATTATTTATCCGTTGTCTGAGGTAGATACCTGTCTCTATCGGATACGGATTGGACTCCATTGTTATAGTAGAACGCAAGCAAAAACTAAATGTAGTATATTAATTCAAGACTTTAAAATTTACTTCTTTTTTAAAGAAAGTTTAATGTAGTCAATATATAAAGTCTAATAATAAGAATACAAAGTTTTGTATGTTCATAGTGTAAAGCAGTATGGATATACGATTAAGAATTGGAAATACATATCAGCTAGTATTTTAAATGGAATACTGATTTAAAAAACGTTTCATTTCTGATTAATGATCATTAAGATTGGTTCTTCACCACTATATATACTTCAAAAAGATAAGTTATTGCATCGAATTCTAGGAAATCGGTAGTTTACAACCGTCATATTATGTATTCAAAAATGATGAGATGTAGTTATCAATGGAATCAAGAACGCATGTTTCATCCCACTTAGGATTCATCAGCTGAATGCACTTGCCTTCCAGAGTTGACGTTCATTCTGAAATTCAAACCTCATTGTTTTTCACTTCAAATAGTCAATACGTCTATCCACTTAACTACTGAGTCCCGATAGCTACTCACTTGTACAAGTATGTGATATTGCGTACTGAAAATTATTAGAAAAGCTTATCTTGTCTAAGATACGATGATATAGTACTATCTGATAATATTAAAGTGATCTTATATTTTTGAAGCGTCCGGAATAAGGAAGGAATGAATTTCATTCATCTTTTAGTCATACCATTCTTTTTTCATTTATTACCGTTGTTACTACCTTGACGTGGTGGTCAGTCTTGCCTATCGTGATGAACCAATCGAGCTATACTGGCTGGAACAATCGTCCCTCAGGGTCATACCATGCCAGACAGGTCGGTTGAAGAACGATAAGACTAAAAGCAGCAAACCCAAGGTTTGAAGGTGAAGTCGTACTGCTGATTATACAGAAGTGTGACGGCTTTAAGGTGTTCCTTTCAGACAACCCCTTCCCACAAGGAGGGGTGGGATTAGAATAGGTTGACCCTAAAGATGCACAAATCACCTTATCCTACGGATATTCATCTCCGAAGGTAAGGTACTGGCAAGTACAGGGCTAACACAGAAGTCGTGTGTGACCCTTCGGTACCGCGGTCACGCTCTCAAGTCATTAAGACCACCTCTAATCCAATTTCCTTTTCAAGTACTTCCAGAAGAATCTTTCCACGGTGTGGGCAACCGTGAAGTGATAGCCGCCCACATACCTCTAACAGTATTCAAGACCACTGTTGTAATTTAAACTAATGAACTATGCTGACAGTTTTTAGTTTAATGTTTATGTAAATGAGATAGGATATGTTTCCATGAATTTGTAGAGCATCCTAGTTTTACAGTATCCAATATGTGTGCAGTATTAAACATTTCCGCACACTTTTCTATTCATTTATAGTGGGTTAATGTTGCGCATAAAAGCCTATTTCCATTAAAGATTTCATTTCAAGCTTTAACTTTCAATTTATCTGGGTTTTATTCATCCAGTAAGTTGGAACGCCCTACAGTAGTGTGGTTATAGAAGATATATAGAGATAATTTTAGATGATTGAAATAAAATGTCAAATGAAAACTGTTTGTTGTATATACATTTTGGGGATGCTAGATCTTCAGAAGTCACTTGGTAAACGTATTATTTTTGTAATTTTATTTCAGGAATTTGGATTTCTTGTTTTCGCACTAAAAGCGCCAATCCTCACCTTCATATCGTATTTCCTATTTGTCAAGTCTTTAAATATCATTGGTTCGTTTTCTTTATTTTGTGACATTTTTCAAGAACATTTTCATGCTGCATGTATATACTCTTGAGTTGGGTATGTTGTTGTGTTTCGTCCTTCTGTCTGTTTGTGGAATACATTTTCTCTCTTCTGACCTGAAATTCTCCCTCTAGTTAACGAGACTGAGGTGCATCGGAATAGTTAGCTTATCTGATCATTGTGTTGCTTAGTCTTCATTCCGTTCTCAAATTTAGGTGATCTCATAATTTCTTCAAATATTTAATGAGGGTGGTTAACCTTATACAGGATTTAATGATTATAACCTTACTAATATTTATTGTCTTCATTTAATTAGGAATTTATTTTCCAAGCTTTTTGTAAAAAATGATGGAAAGTGGCAAACAGTGGAATCCAGGACGCACGTTTCCTCCCATTTGGGACTTGTCAGCTGGGTGTACCTGCATCTCAGAGTTGATGTTCACTCTGGGACTGGAACCCAGTACCATTCACTTCAAACGCCATCGCGTTATACACTCAGCTACTGAGTTTTGATAGGCACTTGCTTGTGCAATGGGGTGAAGTTAAATTCACTTGGTATCGTTTGGCTTGTATCTTCCTATTGAGGTTTAGTACCACAATTGATCAGTCTGTTATTGGCATATATGCATACTGTGGGAAGATACAGGTTAAACAATACCAAGTGAATTTATTTCCCAAGTTAATAAACATGATCATTTTCCTCTTTGATTATAAATCTTACTGAACAAATATCTTTTTCTATATTGTTATCCTATTTGAGAGACTACTGAATGTTTTACTACGTATTATTGAATAGGTTTCCATTGGCAATAGTAGGCTAACAGCAAAACCATAAGTGAATAATACAGATTCCTAAGCTGAATTACATTATGTATTAGATTCTTGAGAATGCAATCTCCCGAGGTGGGGTCGTGAATACCAACTGCTGAGGAGTTGCACAATAGGACGAAACGGCCGTCCAGTGCTTTCAGGTGTTTCATGTTGGTCTAGATTTAATTGACTCATGATTTCAACTATTAAAATTACTATAATATTCAAAAAATCCCTCTCTAATTAAAATTTATGTATATTTAATTTCAGATGTACAACACAAAAGAAATCGACTAGTTCGATTATGACCACCAATTCAGAAATGTTTAATTATCGTTCATTCGAATTAAAAAATCGTTCTAAACAAACTTACTCTTATATAAATGCTGTACGTAATCATAATTGTCATACAAGATTGTGGTAACTTACATGGTATGTTATTCATTCTTTGTTTTATCATTCATAACTATTATATAATTTTTGTGATAGCATATGCTTATAATGAACTGTTATCATTAGGTCAAGAGGATTAGTGGTAACCAATTCCATTGTAGTATAACCACAGATTACCCATTGATTGTCAACATCTTTGAATGAATTCGAATTTGAAAGTGTAAGCTAAAATCATGTATTGAGATTAGATGGTGGTTGGAGGTAGTCGACAGGAAACCCTGGACCCGGGTTTCGTGCTACATAGCACTCGTCAGCAAGGTGTACCTGTAATCTTTAGGGAACTGGTGCTCCCTGGCGGATTCGATCTCGTGTCACCCAGCTTCACAGTCAGAGACGTTACCATTCGATCTGCACTAATAAGGACTATACACGCATGACATTCATCACCACCCAGTAATCAATCAATTGTGATTAAAATCATGTATTGTCAAATTCTGATAAGAAACAGTCAAGAATTAATAGAATTAACTACTGGTTATACTTGACTGTTCATTGAGTGATGATGACCAATTTCATGTTTCATAAAGGGGTTTAGTGAATATTTTAGTAATTTAATAGTTGAATTTACGAGTCAATTGAAGGGAACTATTGAGGTGTTCTACACTAGGATGAAACGACCGTTCAGTGCTTCCATGTTTTTTTTTCATGGTGTTTGTCTAGTTTCATGATTGTCCAGTCCTCTAGTAGATATTCATCTTTAATCCTTTTCAAATGTTCATAATAAAATTTCGGGAAATTTATCTTGTTCTATTTGACTGGTAACCATGATCATTTAACCAAAATGTTTGTTTATGAGATGAATCTCTATGGTATTTTACCTACTTTCAATTATTCATTACCTTCAATCTGTCATAAATAATGCGTAAACCTATGTTAGCTACTCGTAAGTAACCTATAATTAAAGACGAAAAAAAATTACGTTCGAGAAAGTGTTCTTGAAAATGTAATTGCCTAGGATATTTGTTTCGCTAGTGAAATGAATTTACACTATTACTGATCATTAAGTATTGGAATATGCTAGCGGTTGAAATTTAATCCGCTTGTTTCAAGAATGGTATAATCAAATCAGCTTTAAAACAATTAGTCCCTTTGATAAATTTCGATAATGATATTAGAAGACGAAGATTATCAGAACTATGTGATATATTAGCGCAATACATTTCGAACAATCTGGTCACACATATACTTGTTAAGAGCATTTATATATAAAAATAAAAGGTCAACTAGACAGGAAACGGGGTAAGAGGAGATAAGGATAATGATAAGAATAATAATAAATAAGAACTTTCGTCTAGAACACAAAGCGAAACCTAATCACTCTGGATAATAAGTCAATATTACCAGGGTAGGTTTAAGGTAAGAACAAACTGTTTTTGAACACATAAAGGGGGTTTGAATTTTCGTATGGCTAAGGCTTCAATGAACCTTAGTATACACCCTTTTACACTTTTATACAGAACTACAAAAGCTGAATTTAGATCAATCTTGTGACCTGTTTCAATTATATGTTTAGCAATAGAGGATGATGGATGTTTATCCTCTGCTCTTATTGAGTCACTTGATTGTATTTGTTTCTGAAGCCATTTGGGTACATGTTCACTCACCCTAATGTTGAGATCACGATTACTCCTCTCTATGTATGTGTGACCACACACACATTTAAATTTGTAAACACAGTGGGATGTGACGCAATCGTTTCCATGTACTTTAGGTTTTGAATGAAGCATGCACCTTGTTCTTTCTTTGATGATGACCTTTGCTGCGCAATAGGTTTTATTGATGACTGATTTAAGTCGTTGTTTCAGTAAAAGGCTATTTGAATCACCTCTGAATGGTAAGGTGATGTAGACAGGCTTTTTCTCTACCAAGTACGTCCAACTGACGAGTCATAAATAGGAAGATGTTTGAGTCTTGAATTCGACTGCTAACACTTATCAATCTCTGCTTACACTGACTGACCTAAAGCAATATTGAGGCAATCTTCACAGGATAAAGGATTGCCAATAAGTGACTGATCAATTGCAATCTTAAATGTCAATGGAAAGATTTAAACAATCCATACATAGAGAATTATAATAATCAAAGTCTCCAGAAAGCTCCGGTAACAATAACTCACGTTTCAAAATAAACGTTGAAAATGTTGAGTGTCGATGCTCTAAGTGGTTGTTAATCAATCAAATCTCGTATCTTAAAGTATTGAGGTACTTTTTCTGGATACTTTCATCATATATTCAGTCAGAAAAATTCATTCATCCAAAATATCTGTGTACCATCTTGCTCATTTCGGTTATCTCTTCTTATTTGTTGACATGCTAAAATCGATTTCAAACAAAAGAACAGTTGATGTATTCATCCTTTTTACTGTACTTATGATAAATAATTGGTAACCGTATTACTGAGCGTATTCAAAATATTAACATATTCTTGTAATCATGGTGGCCAAGTACATATTCTTAATTTTACCGTGACTTTTAAAACTCTTCGATAACCATCCGAACTTCTAGGATTCCAAGTTAGAGCTTGCATCGTGATGCAGTTTATTGATTTCCGTAATTTATGTCCTATCCATTCCCAGCATCTCTTAATTTCTTTTCAGATAGAAGCTGGTTTGTTGCCTCTCACAGTAGGTCAACGAACAGTCAGTATATTGTGAAGACAATTGTTTGTAAATACTTATATCTTTTTGATTATTATTGTGGTAGTTCCCCAAGTTACTGTTCCGTACAATAGAACTGTGTTGACATTCGTATTGAAGATTGCGACTTTGATATTGGTTGACAGTTTTTTTTTAGTTCCATATGTTCTTTAATTGTAGAAACGCTTCCCTTGCTTTGCCAACCCTCACCTTTATATCTGCATCGAATTCTCCTTGTTCATCGATGATGTTGATCAGATACATGAAAGTTCCCACCTCTTTCAGAACTTCTTCATCAGGTGTGACTGTGTTGAGATTATCCGTGTTGTATTTGAGGATCTTGGTTTTCCCTTGTGTATGTTGAGGCCTACCGCTACAGAGGCTGCTGCTGCACTAGTTGTCTTCACCTACATTTGTTCGTGTGTATAGAATAGAAGGGTTAGGTCGCCTGCAAAGTCCAAATTATCTAGTCGCATCCAACCTGTTCGTTGTATTAGCTTGAATTAAGATAACAATAGTGGAGTTTATTCATTATTTTACTGTAGTTACTACTTGTTAACAGAGATTATTCTAAATATTTCTAAGAAAGTAACCGATGCTCAAACTACTTTTTATCGTATATTTTTCTTTAATTCAGAGCCGAAACAACGTCTATCTATATTCATACAATAGACTGATAGTGTTACGTAATCCAGAGTGACACTGACATTTATAAACTGAAAAAAGATTCCAGATATATATTGACAAAATTCAATAGTCATTCATTTAATCACAGTTAAACAATGATGTAATACTTTATACTTGATATTATTTCAATAATTCCACTTATCTCTTTGTATCTTCTGACATTTGTGGTCGAATTCAATTGACTATCATCATAACTATCTGTCTAATCTTTTGAATTCTTCATGTCCCTTTATTTTTTCTCGTTCCAAATTTACTTCACTGGATTGTACTCCTGAATAACAACTTCAAACCGTAATCTTTCCGATTACTGCTTATACTTTTATTACCTTTACCACTATAAGATTTGAATCGACAATTGTATCTCTGTGCTAATGTTCTATGGCAACTCGAACTGATGTACATACGTACGAAGTTCTACGTTGTTACTGACTGACTGACTGATTGCCGACCTGTAAATATAACTTTATTAATTATAATGGTTAAACGAATGTAATTGGTCTGTGGTATTTTTTAAAAAAAAGGAAAAAGTTTCTTCAGTTTGCCTGCTACTTTGCTTTTCTATCCCATTTTGATTCAATTTTTGCTTTTTTTTTCTCCATTTTAAATGGTTATTGTTAAGATTATTATTATTACTATTATTAGTATTCATAGTATAATCTTTGTTTCCATCATCATTTTCCTTAGAATTTGTACATTAGGGAAGGGTGAGTTTTCGAAGCCTTTGTCTTAAAAGATGAAGTGATTACTGTTGTGACTTTAAGATCGGCTTGTTATCACGTGATTTATTTACCAATCGAAATACGACTTGTTCAATCCTAGTAATGTGCTAAACCAATGACGTTCAACCGGTATGAGCAGTCTAGTGTCCTTCTTGACTCATTGTTCTTCTAGCTCTTTCAGTTGGATCCAGAACATCAATATCAGCTCTCACTATACGAATCACTGATTTCAAACATACTTGGTTTATATACCAACTAAACAGACCTCATCACATCATGAAATAGGAAATAACATTCATACACACAATAAAGCCAAGATGTAGCTGTGAATGTGGGAGACTGTAATCATCAATAAACTGAACATAACTTCTTAAGAACAGTAAATCGTATAATCATAATCCATAGGTTAAAATGAAGCTTATAATAAGAGGAATATAGTTAGATATACATAATCTAGTTACTGAATAGTTTTACAATAGGAATATATGCATAATATTATTATTTCACCGGATTGTAGTATTAGTACCCCGACGTGATGGTTAGGGTTTGGGTGCCATGATAAACATGTCAACCTATATTTACTAGTGTATTAATTCCTTTGGGTCCTATTATAACAGACAGGTTAGTTGTAGAGCCATAAGACTAAAAACAACAAACTTATAATACGATGTCAAAGTCGTATTGTTCATTGTACAAGATCATGACAAAAGTAAGTTGTTTACCGAAGACAACCAGGACTTACAATGATACGAACTTTTCATGACGGGGTGGGGAGTTAGGAGAAGCTGATATCAAAGATAGTCTATATGATCTTCCCCCATGGATTTCCATCTTTGACAGCAAAGCTTACTTATCTGAAAATATTCATGAGAAAGGCATTCATGACTAGCATCATGCAGTTACCTCTTGAGCACTTCGATTAAACCATCAAGTTTTCAAGACTAACCCGAGCCCAGTTTCTTTTCCAAATATCTCTAAGAGAAATGTCCTTTCATGATGTATACAGCCGGATACTGACAAATTTCCGTATACCGCGAAAAATACTTGATGACTGATTGATTTTTACTTCACATTTGATTCGATAAGTTCGACTTTTGTATCATGAGAATAGCGTGTCGAGTTCCATTTCATGAAGTTGTCTATTGTAGAGTATTAACATTTCTGATTTAAACTCAAAATAGTTTGAATGAAATAATCAACAGCATCAGTAGTATATCATTATAGACAGAAAATGGTGTATTAAACTTTCATCCAAGTTAAACAGTTAAGAAAACAAAAAGCTTAAAAATTAAGGTAGTACATACTATAGGAAAATGGGTGGAAAAAATTGGGCGGGATCATAAATCATTACATTTAATGAGATATGTTTGTGTTATGAAGATTCTATAACCTGGATATTCTCATATCTTATTAAATGAGTCATATCGAAGGTAGTTTGAAGGACTGAGTAGCTATAGCTAAAGAATTAATGAAAATCACTAAGAGTTTAATAGTTATTTCTATTTCTAATGTAAACACTGAACCAACAGGGACTATGATTTTAATATTAGGTTGAAACCAAGGATTTTATTTTACAGATTAAAATCACGAGTCAGTTGAAGCTAGACCACCATGGAAAACCTAGAAGCACCGGACGGCTGTTTCGTCCTAGTATGGGACTCCTCAGCAGTGCACATCGACGATGAAGCCCTCTGCGAGATTCCAACCCAGGACCTATCAGTCTCGCGTCAAGTGCACTGCTGAGGAGTCCCATACTAGGACGAAATGGCCGTCCAGTGCTTTCAGGTTTTCCATGGTGGTCTAGCTTCAACTGACTCAAGATTTCAATCTATGAAATTTCTAAAATCTCCACAAACCCCTTCTGATTTTATTTTAGTCAAAATCGTCGTTCACTTATTGGGTGAAAATGTAAAATGTCAACTTCATTCTTGTTAGTTCATAGTGCATATATATTAGTGGCCCTTTATTTCGTCAATTTCAAATCGGATGATATTGTTGACAGGCTCACCACTTTAGTGCTCCAGGATCTGACTCTAGAGAGATCGTTTCTGATTGCTATTGAGATATACATATCGTCGATCCTCGTAGATAATTATCGACTTCGCTCGTGTTAGTGAATAACGTAATTAAATAAGTCAAATAAAAGAATGGATTTTTGAATGCATATATTTTGTACACTCGCAGATCTGGACAGGAAGTCAGAGGGATGAAATAAATAGAAAACAGCGGAGCAAAATGACGCGCAGTGAAGAAGGCATGTGAACCAATTCCTTTTAACCAAGCGTTAATCAATATTTATAGTCACACAAAAATAAGGTACAGACATCTGGTGAGTAGGATAAGATGTACACACATATACGCTCATATAAAGCAGTGAGGGTTGATAAGTGAATAATTAACAAGATCAAAACGCGGCTCAACAAGAACGGATAAATTGGCCTGTCCAGAAGCTAGAAAAAGGTATATGGGCTTAACATATAAACCGACACTATAACAAACTGTCAATAGGAGTCTATCATCGTCTTGACTTAGTTTTACCGGGATAAAAACTCTTGATTTATTTTCTCTTTGCACATATTCAACCTCATATGGATCTTTGCTGAAACACAAGTGGTTTTTACGTAAATTTTGGAACACCAGCACAAATCTTACTGCATGAATACAATGCTCACTCCCAAGGATACTATATATGTATATGTTGGGATAGACTACAGCTTGTTAATTCCTAATCGGGATCGCATAGATATTTCTCTAAAATACTTAAGGATAATTGATTGCAAAATACTTAAACAAAATATAGTTAAGAACTATTGTAGTGTGTTGTGCACTACTGATGTCAACAGATATAAATAGTACGTATCATGAATGGGAAGTGAAATGCCTAGCGGCAGAAGGTTAAGGAGATCGAAGGAAAGAGAACGAGAACAGAGAATGGTTGATATGGAAACGAAAGGACAATGAAGTATGAGACGATTGTTTGATATGCTGCAAATGAAGTATTTACTATATGATTCTCAGATTTTACTAAGATATTCTGTCATTTTGTATTCAAATACATTCGATTGTCCTCAATTATGTTCTTGTTCACCACAATAGTATTGTCTACTAGGCCAATATAAATGTGATTTCTAACCTGAATTTTATTTATTAAAAAATAACGTCAGTGGTATATATTGCGATTAATACTCTGAGTCTCTGTCATTGTATCTGTCATGAATGAATTAGACCAAGAACATCATAGTGTCGGTTAATAAGAACATCTGTAAATCTATAAGTATTAAGTAAGTCTAGTAGTCATAATGTCTGAGCATTGGATAATGCACCATGTTGCGCAACATTTTCAATCACATTACACGATAATGACATTTTAGACTTCAGTAAACTGAATTTACATGTTTCGTCTTCTGTATAATACACTGAAGAAGTGATTTGAGGCGAAAATATCTAGTTTACCAAATTATTTGATATATGAGTATTATGAGATCAAAGGTCCTAGGTTCGATTTCTTTTAGTAGAATGATAGATCTGCACAACTGAAATGTCTCTACTGGAATGAAATGGTTGATGAGTGCTTCCTGGTTTTCATTGATTGTTGATCTGAAAAAAGTGATATATTTACGCTATATATTTCTAACAATCTGGTCACACATATACTTGTCAGTACATTTTATCTGAAAATTAATAAAAGTCAATTAAATGAAAGTTCAAGTAAAAAAGGTAACAAAGGGGAGAGAAACAATTTTATATCGTATAGAAAGAATAAGAAAGGATATGTCGCTCAGTTTCGCGGGTTAGTTGAAGTTAGACATTAACATTGTTGGATGCCGGTTCAGTGGTCTAGTGATTAAGCGCTTGCGTACGAGAATGATAAGTCCTGGGTTCGAGTCTCGTGAGGCGGGATCATGGATGCGCACTACTGAGGAGTTTCACAATAGGACGAAACGACCGACCGATACTTCTAGGTTTTTCATGGTGGTCTAGCTTCAATTAACTCATGATCTCAGTTAATGGAATAAAAGATTTTTGTGTAATCCTGGGCTATAGAATGACTTAAGAATTATCAAGGTAAATTCAAGGTTACGACAATTTGATATTTGTGCACATAAAGGGGGGGGGTGTACATTTACGAATAACCAAGGTTTCAATAAATGATTATAAGTGATTTCATTGTTTTAACAGACTTCTTCAAAATATGATTGATTTTGTACACGTTTGTGAGTTCGCATTTCTGAGGATCCTATACTGGAACAGAATAAAAGTTCCTTGTTCTTTTTCTTTCTTTTTTTTTTGGTTTTGCATCATTCATTATCCAGCTATACTTAGTTCATAACACGAACTCTTCTTTCTATAATATGTTGAAGCAAATAACAGAATAAAACAAATTCAACAATTCAGTACTTTTCATTGAATATAGAAGTAATTTATCTACGAAACAACTGAACTATAGTAGTTGAGAAACAAACGAAAACAATACAACTTAACCATTTATGACAATTTAGTATTGTTTACAGTGAAAACATACTACCTGTTGTATTTTAAGAATTATATATTGTACCCTTGTTTATATTAAGGACTATAGTCGATCAGTATCTAGATCAATATGAATAACTAATATGGAGGATAGATTTCATTGATTATTTTAACTCCAAGTGTTTTGTTCAAGATCAATTCTGTTTCTCAATTCAATATGAAAATTACTCAGAATAATATTTATTATATTTTTTTAATGAAACAATTTAATTACTTACATCTGTTACTCGCTGTGGGGCATAGGCCGTCAACCAGCATTCTCCAACTCATTCTGTCTTGGGCCTTCCTTTTTGGTTTAATCCGATTTTTGTTCATTTTTCTCATGTATGTTTCCATTTATCGGCGTAATGTGTTCTTTGGTCTTCCTCTCCTCCTTTGACCTTAAGGATTCTAAGTGATGAGAGCTTGCCTTGTGATACAG